CCACCACTCCCAGCTAATTTTTTGTGTGTGTGTAGAGACAAGGTTTTGCTATGTTGCCAAGGCTGTCTTGAACTCCTGAGCTCAAGTGATCTACCGACCTCGGCCTCCCAAATTGCTGGGATTACAGGCATGAGCCATCATCCCTGGCCAGAGACAACTCTTGTAAGATGTCTGGCTCTATAAAAAACGGATGAACAAGAAAGCACAGGATATTAGAGATGGTGTGGGGCAAAAAAAGAATTTGTTTGCTGCTTGACTTAGTTTTAGGGTGGGAAACACTCGAACATATATAAATGCATATGAGGAAAGCCAGAAGAAAAGGCAAGTCTCAAGATGTATGAGACAGAAATACTTTAATTCCTTTTTATCCTACTATAATAGTTATGATACAAAATAAATTATAATTATAGGTTTAAATCTCTTCTTAAATAAAAGCCACAATCTGTCCAAAATGTGACAAGATCCAAAAGTTATTTTCTATAACTAAGACAGGACAAATATTGATCTTTGGAGAAAAGCAAAAATAGTGAATAGCCTTACATATTCTGACTCTAAGGAAAGGGTGAGGCTCCTCACCAAGGGTAAAGATTAAAATTAAGGCAGCAGGCAGGAGGTGCCACCTGCTGGTAAAACACAAAATTCTCAGTATTTTGACTGTGACAGAAATCAGTCTTAATAGGAATTTCAACTAACTCGGCTACAGGTTACTTATGTCTCCAATAATAGCTTCTTGAGACTGAGAGAGAATCTAAGACCTTCCTACTGAGCAAAAAAAAAAAAAAAAAGTGTTTTAAAAACACTTCTATCAGTTGCTCACCTTGCCTTTATTTGAATACATTCCGTAATAAGAGGTGCATAAATCCAAGAGCTGTTACAACGTGAGTAGGTCATTTTAAATTGAAACACATCTTCTCCTAATTTCTACCCACTATATACTAGGCCTTCCCTCTGGAGCAATACGGCTAATCCCATAGGACAGCTTCCACCATCTCTAGGCGGGCATATCTCCACTTACTTTCTCCTCAGATTAAACAACCCAGTATTTTTTTTACCTGTTGTTTTTAAAACCGTCCACCATCTCAGTTGTGGGATGTGGCTGAGTTTATCAGCAGCCCACAAAATGACTTAGCAGTTTTATTTCAAACAGGCAACCCAGTAGTACTAGTACTTTCCTATATCTGTGTCTTAACACACAGTTGGCTCATACTAAGTTTACGGTCAACTAAAATCCTGTCCACCTAGATCTTCCCGATCCAGTACTCACATAATTTGATTATTTGAATCTAATGAATCTAAGTCTTGATGTTAATCCTCATTAAATTTCAACTTATGATGATTTTGATTGCACTTTCTTGTCAAAATCACTTTGAACTTTGGTTCTTGACACTACCTAGATTTGACAGGCCAGTCACTAAATTTTCACCCAAATCAATGATAAAAACTTGGGTATGAAAGAGTCCTAAGATGTAATTAATACTAAGCCAGCAAAGAATATTTTTGGGTAGAAATATTTATCTAGTTGCAAATCTATTTGCTATTTACTAATCTATTCCAGCCACAAAGATAATGGAAAAATTAGGCAAATGCTTTAATGAAATCAATTATGTTATATCACAGGCATTCCAGGAATATATTATCTTTATATTCCTTTCAAAAAGGTAATTATATGAGTTTAACATGGTTGTTTTGAGGTGAATTCAAGGAAAACATTCACAAATCACATCAGGGATGTCAGCAGATAGTCTCCAAAGTCCACTCGACTTAAAAAAACAAACAAACAAACAAACAAAAAACCACTTTAAAAGTCAACCTATATAATTATTTTATGATTAAATATGATTAAACAAAACAAACATGCACTGGCTGACAGTGCATGCATTTCACCCATCCTAATGCACTGAAGGTCACGTTTTCCAGAAGAAAACTGTCCTCCTGAATGGAATAAATTGTATCTCCCTGTATATACTCCACACTAATCAAGAATACCTTATTTGAAAACTAATGAAAAGTTACTGGCAAATTATTCATGTTGGCCCAGATTGTTTCAACAGTATCATGGATTATAATTCTACTGGGTCTTGAGAGGTGAACAATCATAATGATATTACATATTACATATGGTAGGCTTCAGTTTTTAAATACACTTATCTGGACTTTTCCACTTTAAAACCATTCTCTGTGGTCACGAAAATGGAGTCAAAATGAGGAGCACTGTTCCATGGTATAGTGCGGCAGTCAGGATGTGAACCCTGAAGCCCACTGCTTGAATTCAAATCCTAGCTCTCTATTAGCTTTGTGACCTGGAACAAATCATTTAACCTGTCTGTGCCTTGGCGTCATTTACAAATGTGAATAGTAACAGCAGCCACCTTACAGAGTTATGGTAAGAATTAAATGAGTTAATAAACATGTATAAAGGGTCTGTAACAGTGCCAGCCACACAGTTAAGTATTAAACAGTTTAGATGCTTGCTGTAATTCTCATTCTTGGTCATTTATTAATATCACCCCTTCTCACTCATCTTCTCCCTGTGCTTGCTCTTAAAATAACAATATAATACAATGATTAGTTAAGAACTGGGCTTTGAAGTCACAAAGACCTGGATATGAGTCCCGGCTCCACCATTTACTATAATATTACCTTGTAACTTCACTTCACTTCACTCCTCTAAGCCTGTTTCCTCATCTATAAAATGGGGATTAAAAACGACACCTACTCCCTGGGGTGGTTGTGAGAATAAAAATACATGTCACACACTTTACATAGTACCTGGCACATCGTATGTGCTCAGTAAATCTTTGCTAAAAATCCCTATTTTGTACTCCACAGCATTTTGGTAGGCACAGTCTGGGCCATATCATTCTCCTTTCTGACAGTCTTACAAGTTCATGATACTTCTGGTATGTATCTTTAGTTATACGCCTTTCTCCATATTTATAGATGTTCTGTGATTTGCAGGTAGAACCTTCTTTCAACATTACTTTCTCCTTGAATGGTCAAAATTTTAGAATTTCCTGTTCCTTGCGAACTCATTCTTTTTTTGGAGCCTGTAGCCATGTGATTATATCCGTATTTTTTTCTGAGATATTTGCTTTCTAAAATACTGGACTCATGCTATGTATATTTTTCATCATTATTATGATTGTTAAAATAAAGTGATAATTCTTCTCTCAAGGGTCTATCTCTTCTACTTCCCCAATCATTAGTAAAAATTAAATCCAGAGAAATAGCCGCCTCCATTGTTTCCTTTACCTCCTATGAGACTAAATCACTGATAAATCAAAAATTTTATCAAATATTCCTACCAAAAGAATGAGACTTCTAACAGGTAGCTAGATGGTTACAGGGCACATTACTACTAACATGTTTCTCTGTACATTCTGCAGTCTGCATCAGAAACTACCATCTACAGTTCCTGTATCTGAGATTCTTTACTATTTCTCCATCAGAACATCACCTTTGTTCCTTTCGTCTTTTAGAAAGAAGCTCTCTACCACGTTTTCCCTGACATGGTGGTTTCTATATTCTCCACACACACACATACTCATTCCATTCACCCCTCCTAGTTTTTTCTACTAGATGATTTTTTTCAACAAAATATACCTTCCAATGGCCAGAGTTCCTACAACCTATTGCTGATAGGTATATTCTTGTTACAAATATTAAGTTTTCTATCTATACTGCGTTGGTATACACAAGTATTTATATATAAGGTATTGTTTCCAAACAGTTTTGTTCCCAAATGCTTTCTTTCTACCATATGTCTTCTTATTTATTTTTATAATTATTATCTAGGCTTATTTCTCCTTCTCTACTGATTAATAAGCATCCAAACAGAGTAATAACACTTACTCTACCAGAAGCTCACTAGCGTGGCATTGAACAGTACAGTTCAGGAAGCCAAATGCTTCTCTGATACCAGCCAACTCTTAACTGCCATATCTATTCTTTTCTTCCAATGTTACAAGCATCAAATAGAATATAAAAAGATAGGACCTGTGCCTGCTCTTTAGAACTTCAAAATCCCTAGATTTCTTCTAAATATTTCCATTAATGTAAACCAAAAAAAAAACATTATTTTGACTAGACTACAAACTTTAAGAGAGTAAAGATCATGTAAATTTCACCCACTATTGCCCAGTACCAAGTACTTATTAGACCACAGGACACACACTTTAGCCAAATCCTGCCCAAAGCCTGTTTCTGTATTGTTCACAGCTAAGAATGGACTTTACAATTTTAAGGAGTTGCTTAAAAAATCAAAAAACAAAAAAAGGAAGAAAAAGATGTGACAGAGACCACTGTAGCCTGTAAAGCCTAAACTCTGCCATCTGAGTCTTTTTAGAAAAAGTCTGCTGACCCCTGTGTTGGACACTCAAATATTTGTTAAAAGAGGAGGTAGGGAGAGGGAAAGGAGCAGTAGGAATGGGGAACAGAGATGTGCAATGAATATAACCGGAGAGCACTGCAGAAAGAAAAACCTGCATAATAAATACTATACACGTCTGTACATTGTTCTTCGGCTTTCATTTTCCTTAAGTTCCAAGATAAACTAAAGGTCTTTCGTTAGCATATTTTATAGATCATATATATATTTTTTGTGATTGATCTATTATTCTTAAGTTATAGGTGCTCCTAGGAGAACTAAATTTAAACCCTGGCAGTACTAAATAACCTAGTTAACATAAATATCAGTCACCAGCAAGATGTCAGCCACTATAAGGTATCAGTTTACAGGAAAGGATCTTCACACGTATATCCTTTCCTTCCACACAGCACTAAGCAGCTAAGTGCTAAGTAACACTCCACAACGTTTTACTCATTTATACCCATTACTTAAAAATATAATCATTTAGAATGTTCTACAAGCCCTTCAATAAAGTTTTGAATACTAAAAACATGTTTAACCAAAAATGAAAGTCACATTCTCAAGTGACATAAAAGAGCAGTATTAGACCTATCCAGAGCACTGTCTACCAGAAGCACATGCAAACGTGTACCTGAAAATGCTGCTCCATCACTTGGATTTTTCCTTGGTCTGGGCACTTTTTCAGAGCTCGATCTGCATAATGGAATAGGATTTCTACCATCTGTAAGGAAAATAGCCTGGCATAGCCATTAAAATATATCTCTAAAGTTTTTCAATATTTATGTGGCCCTCCTAAATAATATAGAATTCGAATGTTATATTAAAATTATAATTGAAAATGTTAGTGGCTTTATTTACCAACTTTTTAAAACTCTAGTCTCATTTCTTTCAGCCTCAGGGCTAGTACTAATTTGCTAATCTTTCTTAAGAAATATCTCTATGTTCTAGACCTCAGTGGTATCTACACTGCTCAGAAAATGAAACATTCAAATTCTTCAGTAATCCTCTGCCTTAGGTGTTTCCCTAAAGAGCACAGATGAGCAAATCATTCGGAGTCTAAGGAGTGACCAACTTCTATCCAAGTTTTCTACAAATGTTTCTACAAATGTTTCTATTAATCTGGAATATAATTTTTACCAATGCATTTACACAACAAAAGGGAAGAAATACTATAGTCAATTAATTCAGCCCAGTCTGGAGTAGGAACGGAAAGTCAGTATTAAATAGCATCAATTATATTGATGCTAATTGATAATAACATTAAAACATTAACCCTCTCTGCTGGTTCTGGGCAACACAAACATTGCACATACAGTATTTCTCATAGTTACTTAATAAGTTCATAAAAACTGACAAATGTCAATTTTCTCTGGCCTATTACTTGGTTCAGAAATAATCCAGATTCCCAGGTTTTCTTCCTCCTCCTTCCTGCTGGCTTTTGGCTATGTACTTTATTACCTTCATAAAAGAGTGAGCAAGGGAAAAAGAAAAGGTGATTAAGAAAGAATTTTAAAAGTATTTCAGATGACACAGAGAATTGTAACCGGAATTTTTTTTTTTTTTTTTTTTTTTTTTTTTTTTTAGATACAGGTCTCACTCTGTCACCCAGGCTGGAGTGCAGTGGTGCAATCATAGCTCAACTGTAGCCTTGAACTCCTAGCCTCAAGTGATCCTCTGGCCTCGGCCTCCCAAGTAGCTAGGACTACAGGTGCATACTACCATGCCTAGCTAATTTTTTTATTTTTTGTAGAGATGAGGTCTTGCTATTTTGCCCATGCTACTCTTGAACCCCTGACCCCAAGAGTGTGTGTGTGTGTGTGTGTGTTTAATACACTCTCTCCTAGATTGTAGCCATTTACCTACTCATGCCCAAAGATATGAGCAAATGCCAAAAGCAAATCTGTACTGCATTCTAGTAAAGGCCCTATTAAAACACTCACCCGGTCTGCAACAATAGCCTTTCGCTTACTGGCATCCCCTGATAATCCTGCAGAGAAGGAAAATCCAACAAAAAAACAAAAGTTAGTCCACATCTTTAGTAGTGACACTATGTCTGGTTTCATATTCATAAGACGTGTAACATCAGGTATAATTGTAACAATCCTTAGGTATCAAAATGTTGGATAATACACCATAATAGGAACACCTCAAATCTACTGGACCAGATAGCACATCAATGTACTTCTCTTTCGTTCTAATAGTAATTTCCTTACAAAATAATTTTTAAAGTGACATTTTAATTTCTATACCCTCTATTTGTCACCTTAACCTTCTTAACTGAAAGTCTATAAGGTTTAATAGCATCCTGTTTATAAATTTATAAACACTTGAACACTCAGCTAAAAGTGTCCTGTGAGTGGTTAGTACTATCCGTTCCCTCTACTCCAGGAGAACCATGTCTACTACACTGTAATTCTGTCTACTCACCCACTACAGCTTTTGCTTTTCCTTCATGGAAAGACCACGCAAGAGCCAAGGCTTCTGTAAGACAATCTTGTTTCAGGAGATGATCCACTCTCTAAATGGAAAAATGAGAGAAATCAGACCCCTTTTTCCGACCAGTCACCAGTCAGAATTCCTATTCCACCTCAAATCTTTCCAGAAGTTGCTGCTTAGTGGCAAAAATTATTTTAATAATTATGTGAATATCTTATTTCAAAGAAAAATATCTTAAAGCACTAGATAGTATAGTGACTGTATAGGCTAGTATAGACAGCCACAGGGCCTAAATATGAAAAGGGGTAATAGCTGGAAGGTCATTGTAGGAGAAATGGCTAGTTGTTTATCACAACATTGATTTCTCCCTCCTTGGTAGTAACAAACCCCATGTTTATTTGAGACAGCAATATAGCAGCTGAAGGATATTTCTAAGACTACCTCGTAGCCACTGGGAACAATGTGACTAAGCTCTGGCTAATGACAAGTGGAAGTGTTGTCTGGTATTTCTGGGATGTCATCTTAAGAGGTAGGAGACATCCTTTATTTTTCTCTTTCTTCCTTCCTAAAATGTGGTAACAGCTGGAGCTCTAGCAACCACACTGAATTATAAAATGACCCTGAGACCAGAACATCAAAGACAAACATGGTGGAACAGGACAGCACGCTTAAGCTTATGGAATTCCTACAACAGTTGCGGACCACCTAGCTCCAGGTTGCTTTTACATGACACAGAAATCTTATTTAAGCCACTATTATTTTGAATTTTCTAATATATGTAGACAAACCTAATTCTAACTTATAATGTCAGTTCTAGCAAATCAAGTACCTAACAGCTATAATAGTTTTCATGTACATTCTGAAATTAAGAAGCTTACCAAATAATCTTCTGAAAAGTCAAAACAGAAATGTTAAGAAGCTATCAATTCAGTAACTCTGACATGTGAAATTACTTGGAACTCACCTCTCTCCAGCTCCTCAGCATCATCACATAAACAGACTGAAAAGTAAAGAGATGGAAATTAAAATGATCACCCTTAACAGACTTCTTTGGGAGATACATTCGTCATAGTCCCACATCTCACTTGACAGCTCTTTAAGTAAAACATTTCATAATACAGTTAGAAGTATATCTTAGAATTTACTAATGGGTCTTCAAGAACGCTTTTCTTTTTTTTGGGACAGAGTCTCGCTCTGTTGCCCAGGCTGGAGTGCAGCAGCGGGATCTTGGCTCACTGCAACCTCCTCCTCCGGGGTTCAAATGATTCTCATTCCTCAGCTTCTTGAGTAGCTGAGATTACAGGCGCCTGTCACCACAACTGGCTAATTTTTGTATTTTTACTAGAGACAGGGTTTTGCCATGTTGGCCAGGCTGGTCTTGAACTCTCAGACTCATGTGATCTGCCCGCCGAGGCCTTCCAAAGTGCTGGGATTACAGGTGTGAGCCAACGCATCTGGCCTAGAACCCACATTAAAGAGTAAGTCAAATATTTAAAGGCCTACAGTCCAAGAAGGAGTTAATTCCATGGACAAGAAGCAAGGAAAGCCCAAGCTCATTTCCCTCTACTGACTTGGCAATATTTTGGTTAAATTTTAATAATGAAGAAATGTTTCTCCATATTTTTAAAAAAGCACAGGAACAAATTGAGATAAATTGAGATACAAAAAGTTCCTATTCCAACAATTCTATTCTAAGTCAAATACCTCAATGCATTTTAATCAGCATCCTAGGCTGATCTAAGCTAAAAGCCATCTTAATTACATGACAAATATCGACGATTAGGTAGCTGTCTGATCATAAAAACATAAATGTGAAGGAAGCTTACAAAAGCACAACTCTGAGTCAAGAAAATAAGCATCCTATTAGCCAGCACCTAAACAAAAGTAAAGAATATGTCTAAAAGTGGAGGAAAAAAAAATAATTAACTAAAAATTATGACTACCTAACCACAAACCATTTTGGATAATTGCTGATCAATATTCACTTCGCAATATACTGCCCTCTTTACCAGCAATCTCCTTCAGCCTCAACTACCCCGATACATAGAAATACCAACTCACAGAGTAAAAGAGCTTACTTTTGTACCCAAATAAAAGATCTGACCACCATAGCTACTGATGGATTGATAACAAGCCTTCTCTCCAACCAAAGCCTGGAAAAAAAAACATACATACAAAAAAGGTTAAAAAAATTCCTTTGTATTTAATGTATTTTTTAACATTTCGTCACTATTAATGACTTACTAGTTACACGCCTTTTTTAGTGATTATAGTTTACAATGTGTAATTTATCTCAGTCTACATTTAAATAATGTTTGACATATGCTGTAAGAATCTTGCAATGATGTACTTTCATCTCCTACATCCCGGCGCTATGTACTATTTTTGTTATATATACTGCTTCTATAGATCATAAACTTCACAACACATTATTTTTGTTTTAGACGGTCAATTGCTTTTGTTAAACAACAGTATTGAGATATAACATACACCATAAAATTCACTCATTAGCCACACAATTCAATGATTTTTTAGTAAATTCACAGTTGTTCAGCCATTATCAAAACCCATTTTGAGAACATTATCATCACTCTGCAAAGATCCTTGTACCCATCTGTAGTCAATCCCATTCCCACCTCCAAACCCAGGTAACCACTAACGTACATCTGTCTCTAAATTACATTGACCTTTTCTAGACATTTTATATCAATAGAATTAAACAAAAATGTGCTCTTATTGTATGTCTTCTTTCACTTAGTATTTTTAAGATTCATCCATGTTGTAGCCAAGTATCAGTTGTCATACTTTTCACTGTGGAAGAGTATTCTATTAAATGGCTATGCCACATTATGTACATCCCTTTACCAGTTAGTGAATATTTAGATTGTTTTCACTCTTCAGTTATGAAGAACAATACTACTATGTGTGTTCATATACAAGTTTTTATATAAGCATGTATTTCCAACTCTTTTGGAAACACACTTAGGAGCAGAACTTCTGGGTCAGATTGGTAATTCAATGTTTAACTTTTTTTTTTTTTTTTAAGATAGAGTCTCACTCTGTACCCCAGGCTGGAGTGCAGTGGCACAATCTCGGCTCACTGCAACCTCTGCCTCCCAGGTTCAAGCGATTCTCCTGCCTCCACCTTCCGAGTAGCTGGGATTACAGGTGCTTACCACCAAGTCTAGCTGATTTTTGTATTTTTAGTAGAGACAGGGTTTCACTACGTTGCCCAGGCTGGTCTCGAACTCCTGACCTCAGGTGATCCTCCCGCCTTGGCCTCCCAAAGTGCTGGGATTACAGGCAAGAGCCACCATGCCCGGCCTCAATGTTTAACTTTTTAATAAAGTGCCAAACCATCTTCCACAGCATTTGCACCATTTTGGTTTCCTACCATCAATCTATGAGGCTTCCAATATCGCCACATCCTTGCCAACACTTGTTAGTCTTTTTTTTATGATAGCCTTCCCACTTCCCAGTGGGTGTGAAGCAGTATTTCATTTGATTTTGATTAGGTATTTGATCCCTAATACCTAATGATGTTGAGCAGTGCCCCAAGTGTTCATTGTCCACTTCTAAATCTTTACAGATCACTGCCGACTATCTGATGAGAAATGTGTTCTCATAATTATTGCTCCTCTGCATTTAACGTGTCTTTTTTTCCCACTGGTTGCTTTAAAATTTTTCTCCTTATCACTAATTTTGATCAATTCATATACAGTTTATTTTAGTTGTGCTTGGGTTCACTGAGCTTCTTAAACGTGTGTGTCTACAGTTTTAGAAAAGTTTTTGACCATTATTTTTTCCAATTTCTTCTCTCCTTTCCTTTAGAGATTGTAACTACATGTACATTAGGCTATCTGACGTGTTCTCACAGTTCACTAATACTATTTCTTAAAATTATTTTTCTGTGTTTCATTTTGTATAATTTCTGTTGTATCTTCAAATTCATTAATCGTTTTTTCTGTGTTGCCTAATCTGCCATTAATCCCATCCAGTGCATTTTTTTTCATCTATAAGCACTGGTTTTCATCTCTAGAAGTCTGATGTGCATCTTTTTAAATATCTTCCATGTCTCTACTTAACTTTTTTAACTAAAGAGTATAGTTATAATAACTTTTATGTCTTTGTCTGCTAACATTTATGTCAGGTGTGAGTTAGTTTTTATTTTTCTCCTCATTATAGGTTGTTTTTCTTCTTTGCATACCTAGTAATCTCTAATTGGATGAGAGACATTGTGAATTTTAACTTGTTGGTTTCTGGATCTTTCTGTATTCCTTTTTTTTTTTTTTTTTGAGTCGGAGTCTCGCTGTCGCCCAGGCTTGAGTGCAGTGGGGTGATCTCGGCTCCCTGCAAGCTCCACCTCCCAGGTTCACACCATTCTCCTGCCTCAGCCTACAGAGTAGCTGGGACTACAGGCGCCCGCCACCTCGCCCAGCTAATTTTTTATATATTTAGTAGAGACTGGGTTTCACTGTGTTAGCCAGGATGGTCTCGATCTCCTGACCTTGTGATCCACCCACCTCGGCCTCCCAAAGTGTTGGGATTACAGGCGTGAGCCACTGCGCCCGGCCAATATTCTTGTGCTTTGTTCTAGAAGATAAGTGATTTGGAAACAGTTTGATCCTTTCTGGTCTTACTTTTAAGATGTATTAGCTGGGACCAGTGCGCCATTTATTCTAGTCCTAATGAGGCAAGACGACTCTGAGGTCTCTACCCACTGTCCTGTGAATCATGAAGCTTTCCATTCTGGCTGGTGTAACAAGCACTGTTTCCAGCCCTGTGTAAGCACTAGATACGGTTCCCTCTAAACCTTTCAAATGGCTCTTTCCTGGTCCTTGGGCAGCTTCCTTGTATGCATTTGCTGATTAGGAGTCTGATGAACACTCAAGGGGGACTCTTTCATAGTGCTCTTTTCTCCAGTACTCTCTCTTGCAAACTCAACCCAATTTTGTCTTCCTGCAATCTCAGCTGTGTCTTCTCAACTCATGGAGTCTTCTAGGCTCCAATTGGGTTCCTCCACAGCCCAGATGCCCTCTGGAGGCTGGAAGCTAGGACAATCACAGAGTTCACAGCATTTGTTCCCCATTTTGTGAGAGATTGCTGTCCATCATTACAGATGTCCAGTGTCTTAAGAACTGCTGTTTACTTTTCTTCTTCTTCTTCCCTCCCCCTTCCCCTCCCCCTCCCCCTCCCTTCTCCTTCACCTTCTTCGGTTATTTCAAGCAGGAGAGTAAATCTAATTCCCCACAACTCTATCTTGGCTAAAAGTACAATTTCAAAGTCCACTGGTATTTTTAATACCATTCAAACACAAGAAAATAAAGTATGGAACAGTAATTATTATTATCACTTAGTGAATTATATTGCACTATCATTTCTTATTCTGACTTTTCTTGGTTTTTAAAGTGGGAGGCTGGAAGACCCTTTCATATATATTTTACGCTCTGAAGTTTTAATATGAGGGAGATTTGAGCAAAGCCTACACATCATGCTATAGTCACTCATTAAATATTACCATCATTACTATTTTTTTCAAAAAATGATCCAAGGAAGTCTCACGATGGTCTAAATTTCCTACTTAAAGATTTGTGGTTTAGGAACATGAGATCACAATTCAAGTTGATTGAACTATAAACTATCTGTGGAAATTGCTTAAGGCCATTATTGTAGTTGCTTAACGATACAATAAAATTAATGCTAAGGCCATAACTCTGTTGTGTCCTCCTTCTCTCTAGGCTCCTGCATCTCATCTATTACCTATTTCTAGAGTATCTTCTTTCTCTTGAAGCCATCTTTGCTTTTTAATACCCACAGCAACCATACCTGTTCAAGCCTTTACCATTATCACTCAAATATTTCCAAAGCCTCATAGGGTACCTGTCTGTAGTTACTTATCCCTTAAATCTATCAGGCTTATTACTGCCAAATTAAGCTTTCTAAAAATATTTTGACTTTACAGTTTTTCTCACAAATTTTCCATACTTCATTATTTTAGTATAAAAATTAAAACTGGTATTAAGTAAGTAACATTTCTGAATAGAAGGGAACAAAAATTATTGTTTTAGCTTGTATTCTTAAAAACTTACAAGCACATTCACACCCACTTCAACCTAGTGGCTTTTAAATAAACACCTCAAGACAGAAAAAGGTAACTCCTCAGAGTTCCTATTTCTAAAACAAATACAACAAAATACCAAGTTTATCAAAGCAATACCAAGATAAGTGATTATCCTTACCAGTGCCTGGCTAACATTTCCTCCAGTGGCTAGCGATTTGAAATGGCTGCTATTATAGACCAGCTGAACTTCTGAGATCTCCACTGTCTCCAATTCCTCTTGTGTTTGCCGATCAATCACATGCAACTTCTCTACGCTGTCTAAGAGCACAACTGTGCGTGAATTTATCCACTGTAATTCAAGCACACAACAAAACAAAAGAGAGACCACACCCACATCATCATTTGGGTCAAGAAGAAAGCTTGGCTCCTCGATTAAATTACATTGAGGACTTTATCCATTTAACAATTAACATGGCAACACAATCAAAGCAAGAATTACTCAGTGACAGGCCAGAGAACAGTAGCTACAATATACTACTAACTTTTGAAAATGTTAAAATGACACTTGCACAGTGTAAAAGAAGACTAAAAGCTGTAGGTGGATTAGAGCATATCGTTTTTTATAAAAGATTTTTAAAAGCAACTGGCACAAATGACTTCAGTATCATGACAAACTCTGCATTTCTAGTTTTTATGATACTGCTAAAACAAAAGAACAAAGTAAAGCCCATAAACCTAGCTGGTCAAAGGACAATTGTCAGCACTGAAGCAATACATATTTTAAAATAGAAGCTATTTTAAAAATCTACTTCCTTCAAAATCTCTCTTAAATTACGAGAGTCCTTTGTTCTATTTCTCTGTATCTCCCAAATTTTCTTTAATAAGTACTATTATAATTTTAAAAGTACTAACAATAATAACTTTAAAAATCTTCTGAAGGATGCCATTTTAACAAATTTCTTGGGTTATGTATAAAATCAGATTTCTTATTTTCAAATTTTTTTTTGGCAATCCCAATCCTTTCCCAAGAAATAAATCTTAAAATCTGCTCAATCAGAATTCAGAAGTAGCCAGAACAAAGTGCTTCCTCTGCCCTTTATGTCTCTGGTATTCACACTGGTGTATTTGTATGCTCTATTCTATGTCATCAGATATTATTTACATAATGTCCAACTAAAGATAACCAAGTTGAAAATGCTAAAAAATATACTCTATTACTGTATATTAGCCACCCTAAGGGAAGAGTTTGTTCCCCTCTCCTCCTCTAAAAAATCTCTTTCAGAAAACAGGGAGTTTGATATGCAAATATTTTACAGAAAGCTCTTATAAGGTGCTCTCTTAATTATTTTATTTAGAAAAACAAAGTATTTTCTAGGAAAAATCACATTATTTAGCCTTATACAACCTTAATCAGTGCTAGTTCTTAGGTACTCTCACAGGTCACCTGGTTAAAAGAAAACGAGAGAATGGCAGAAAAAAAAGGAACCTCAGTAAGTTTTGTAATTATTCCTGAGATTAGACCCGCAGAGTTGCGAGTGTTGACACTGTTGTAAATAAGCCTTTTAAGGGTAATTTAGAAAACAGTGCAGTTAATGGTCACATACACTCGTGCAGATTTTTAAAGTACTGTATCTCAAACATCTTAAACAGAAGTGATGATGATAAATTCTGAAAAACTGTATGACATGATTCAACAAGACAATTCTGGTGATGACAACACTGATGTCTTTTAAGAGTCTGAACAAAATTATTTCATAAAATGTGTATGGAAGAAAGAATTATTTCTAAACAACTGTGAGTTAAAAATGTAATGTACAACTAAATCAATAAATTATGTAAAGAAAAGATCTATTTCATCTATATTCTAAAAAATTACATGTTATCAAGTTGAGGAAAAATCTCTTTTTCAGTCTTTTTATTCGAAAAATGAGGAATTGCCTTACATTTAGGGTTGCCTATATTCATGCATCTACAGAATGTTTTACCGGACACCAGACATGGATGTGCTAAAATGTATTAATGATGGGAACCCAGAAATATTATAATTACTTTGTTCTCAAAATTAACAAACTATTTGAGAGAGAAAAAATAAAATTTGATACAAAAAGAAATCTCTCTCTTTTTAAACCAAGAAGTGGCCGGGCGTGGTGGCTCATGCCTGTAATCCCAGCACTTTGGAAGGCCGAGGCGGGCAGATCACGAGGTCAGGAGATCAAGACCATCCTGATTAACACGGTGAAATCCCGTCTCTACTAAAAATACAAAAAATTAGCCAGGTGTGGTGGTGGGGGCGCCTGTAGTCCCAGCTACTCAGGAGGCTGAGGCAGGAGAATCGCTTGAACCCAGGAGGCAGAGCTTGCAGTGAGCTGAGATCACACCACTGCACTCCAGCTTGGGCTATAGAGCAAGACTCCATCTCAGAAAAAAAAAAAAAAACAAGAAGTCACTCAGGATTGAGATGCATGGTAGAAAGAGAACTCTGCAAAGTTTTCAGCCACAAGAAAAAAAGAGGCTGCATGAGCTGCTGAACCAATTTAAGACAAAGCTCAAAAATACAAAAAATGTTTTACAGAGAAAGCAGGGCAATGATCCTCAAAAAACTCACCTAAATTCTTCTGAAGCCAAACTCCCCTTTGAGCTAAACGAGACACTACATTTCTAATCCTGCCTGTGTTCAGCAGGACATAGGTTGAAAAGCAATAATTTATGGCATCACACCACATTCAGACTTTATTCAATATAACCAGGACTTCCTTTCTGTGTGTGTGTGTATATGTATGTATGTATATATATATACACACTTTTTTTTTTTAAGAGACAGAGTCTCACTATGTTGCCCAGGCTAGAGTGCAGTGACTAGTCACAGGAGCGATCACTGAGCACTACAGCCTTGAACTCCTGGGCTTAAGCTATCCCACACCTCAGCCTCCCAAGTGGCTGGGACTACAGGCACGAGCCTGGGTGCCTGACTGTCCATATTTTATATGATCTTAAAGGTAATAATTCTTGGCAGAAATCCTGGTAGCTTTAATATATCATAGGTTCAGAACAATTACATGAACTAAATGGGGATGTTTAATTTGAATAATACTCACAGTAAAGTTGATGAGGTCATAGTATAGGTGAAGATGCTTTTGCTTAGTAACATGTATTGCTCCAGATTCGTCTCTCTTTACCTGATGATGAAATAAAAACAACCTAAAAACCAACTACTGTTTGAGGGACTGTTTTAGATATTTAATTATACTCCACCTAGAATATCACATTTACCCGTTATCCCATTCACTGTAGATAAGCCAAAAGTGCTGATAATTAAATAAATGATTATGAAAGTAGAAAAAAAATTATTTGTTCCATTATTTACACCAAAATGCAGGGCATATCTGGAAGTGGTCTAGTTGTCAGTATTGACAAATGCTGTGACATAGTTTTCACTCTGTTATAATTCAGAACAACCTAACTTTATCACATCAATGACTATAATTAAAATACAAAAAGGGCCGGGCGAGGTGGCTCACACCTGTAATCCCAGCACTTTGGGAGGCCGAGGTGGGCGGATCATGAGGTCAGGAGATCGAGACCATCCTGGCTAACACAGTGAAACCCCATCTCTACTGAAAATACAAAAACTAGCCAGGCATGTGGTGGGCGCCTGTAATCCCAGCTGCTCGGGAGGCTGAGGTAGGAGAATGGCGTGAACCCAGGAGGCGGACCTTGCAGTGAGCTGAGATAGCGCCACTGCACTCCAGCCTGGGCAACAGAGCAAGACTCTGTCTCAAAAAAAAAAAAAAAATACAAAAAGGAATGGTGACACGGTGTGAGGAAGGCAAAAGTCCATTCAAGAAAAAAAGACGCTGCAGTGATGTGAGCCAGACTTCTCTGAACTATGATACTATTATGAGAGGACCTCAAAAAGTTCATGGAAAATGCATACAATGAAAAAACTATGCATGGATCTCAAAAATTGTTTGCACCAAAATAAACTCGTACTAACTTACTATAACATGTCTGAAAAGGATCTAGTTTGAGGCATTAAGAAGGAAAGACACCAGTTTGAAAAGAGCCCCAAAGAGCAACATAAATTCTGCTAAAATTGAAGCAAGAACAAATATCAAACTTATGGTGAAGCTTCAGTGGAAGAATGGTAAAATCACTGATGCTTAATAAAAGTTTATGGGAACAATGCCCCCAGAGAAAGCAGCAGTTTACAAATGGGTAACTCGTTTTAAGAAGGAACAAGATGATGCTGAAGGTGAAGCCTGCAATTGCAGACCATACCCATCAATTAGCGAGGAAAAATATTCATCTTGTTCATGCCCTAATTGAAAGAGATCAATGATTAACAGCAGAAACAACAGCCAAAACCATAGACATTTCAACTGGTTTAGCTTGCACTATTCTGACTGAAAAATTAAAGCTGAGCAAAGTTTCTACTTGACGGGTGCCAAAACAGTTGTGCCCAGGTCAGCTGCAGACAAGAGCAAAGCTTTTAACGGGAATTTTAAACATGTGGAATCAAGATCCTGAAGCATTTCTCTGAAAAACTGTAACAGGAGATAAAACATGGTTTTACCAGTGTGGTCCTGAAGAAAAAGCACAAGCAAAGCAAAGGCTATGAAGAGGCAGAAGTGGTCTAGCCAAAGCAAAAGCAGACCAGGCAAGAGCAAAGGTCATGGCAACAAGTTTTTGGGATGCTCAAGGCATTTTGCTTGTTGATTTTCTGGAGGGCCAAAGAACAATAACATCTGCTTATTAGGAGTGTGTTTTGAGAAAGTTAGCCAAAGCTCTGGCAGATAAAAGCCCAGGAAAGCTTCACCAGACAGCCCTCCACCACAACCATGTTCCTGCTCACTGCTCTCATCAAACAACGCCAATTCTGAGAGCATTTCGATCCACCATACAGTACTGATTTGGCTCCTTTGACTTCTGTCTCCTAATCTAGAAAAAGTCTATAAAGGGCACCCATTTTTCTTTAGTTAATAATGTGAAAAAGACTGCATTGACATGATTAAATTCCCAAGACCTTCAGTTCTTTAGGGATGGACTACATGGCTGGTATTAGCACTTTAAAAAGTATCTTGAACAAGATGAAGCTTATATTGAGAAATAAAATTTATTTTTATTTTTTAACTCCATTTTTCCACAAACTTTTTGAAGTTCCCTTGTGTAATTCTAACATCCCAAAATTTCCCAAAAGGACCTTGAGTGTCAATCTTTTATTTATTCGTATCTATAAATACACTCTATATCCTCAGTCATCCTTCTCCGCTTCTGCTCCAAGGTAACAGAACACTGAAGAAACATAAAGCACAAGATGCGCCTGACCACCTGAAATTCATGGCATCCAATTCAACCTGGGCTTTCTTGTACAGTCCCCATAGTAGTATAATAGATGTCTTTCCCTTTAAGTCACAATTCTCTTTGTCTTCTGGCCCCATCACTTACAGTGGTGACCTCACCTGATGTTTTAACAGAAATCTGAGACCACTTAACATGGGCCCTTCATGTGCACCCACCTTCATTTCACTAAATCACTTCTTCCTTAAGAAAGGATCCTGTGGTAAAATGAACATGGGATCTAGAGCCATATGTCTAATTCTAAGTTCCACTATTATACCCATGTGACCAAGGGCAGTCACCTACTCTTTCTCAGTTTCCTGAGAATATATGGTCCACAGACGCTAAAATGTTTACTGTGTGGCCCTTTACACAAAAAGTTTGCTGACCCCTCATCTAGATTAATAATGATTGGCCTAGACTGGTAATGGAGTCATCACAGGTTCCTAAGTAATTAAAGTCATAAAGATGTGATTAAAGTGACATTTTAGGAAGATCAGTCTAGAAGTAGCAAAAAGCATACATACAGAAGGCAGGAGAAAAATTAAAGGTTTTTCTCAATAAGGCAGGTGTAAGGTGTTTAGACAAAGATGGTTAGTTGCAGTGAGAGTTAAGGGATGACACCTTTCAAGGAAAAATAAGTCTTCTCATCATATTGGATCTAGAGACTGAAGGATATGAATGAAACATCCCACTTCTGACTTTGCATTTTAGAATCAAGAAACATTTGAAAAGAGACTGATTGGGGAGAAAATGATGAAGGAATATTTCAATGTTTTGAGCTGAAACTGAAGGCGGGACTCTCAAATGTTGTATTGGGGATGTTCTAATAAAACTTTATTTATATGGCCGGGCGCGGAGGCTCAAGCCTGTAATCCCAGCACTTTGGGAGGCCGAGACGGGTGGATCACGAGGTCAGGAGATCGAGACCATCCTGGCTAACACAGTGAAACCCCGTCTCTACTAAAAATACAAAAAACTTAGCCGGGCGAGGTGGCAGGCGCCTGTAGTCCCAGCTACTCGGGAGGCTGAGGCAGGAGAATGGCGTAAACCCGGGAGGCGGAGCTTGTGGTGAGCTGAGATCCGGCCACTGCACTCCAGCCTGGGTGACAGAGCGAGACTCCGTCTCAAAAAAAAAAAAAAAAACTTTATTTATAAAAACAGATGGCTGGCCAGATTTGGCCCACAGGCCACAGTTTGCCAACCCCTACTCTCAATCTACCCCATATATTCAATTATATTTTCCACTACAACCTTCTCTTTGTCATTAATTCTATAAACATTTATTGACTATTTACAATATAAAGCACTGTCCTAGTGGCTGGAAATATAACAGTAAAGATGGTCTCTAGATTTATGGAGCTTTCTGTCTAGTGGCGAAGAAAAACATTAGACAAATAATTTAAAAAGTGCTGAATGTGGCCAAGCACAGTGGCTCACACTTGTAATCCCAATATTTGGGAGGCTGAGGTGGGAGGATCACTTGAGGCCAGGAGTTAGAAAGTCAGCCTGGGCCTCAGTTGGAGACCCACAATACCTCGCCCCTCTTTTGTTTTTGTTTTTTTTTTTAAGTGCTGAGTATTATCAAAAGATGTATATAACTAACTTAGTTCAGAGGTCAGGGAAGGCCATGTTAATCATGAGCTGGGAGACAATGGAAGATAGCACAGAACTTTTCTGGCAGAGGCAACAGTATATGTAAAAGGCACTGAGGCCAGAGACTAGTTAGGAAGCTACGGCAGAATCCAGGCTAGACATGTACATGATTTAGACTAAGGAAAGAGCAATGGGGGAGACAAAAAAGGAGAAATTCAAGAGATTTTTGGAGGTAGAGTCAATAGGGCTTGATGATAGGGCACATATGAAGAAAGAAAGGTAACTGAAAAGTAACTCCTAAGTTTCTGGCTGGAGGAAGTAGGTAGACAGTAGTGAACTTGCTTCACTGAGCTAGGAAACCCAAAAGATTATTAATACAAAGGCACATTCTTGCCTCTGTGACTTCAGTTCATCTCATTTCCAACAATATGCATACCCAGCCTTCCTGCAGTAGTTGCAGTATATCCTTCATAAAGCCATTAATACCCTCTCTAGTCCATACTAATCACTTTGTACTCTGAATTTGTATCAGCTTGATTTTCATCACATAGTTCAATCCTTAAACCATTTTCTGTAGTAATAATGAACATACTGATTTTGCTTTTCAAACAAGATTATAAGCTGTGTGAAAGATGAAATTACGTTGTATACTTCCTTCCATTGCTACTTGTGCCCATCACAGTGTAGAGGACACAACAGGTGCTCAATGATACTTGCTCTCTAATACACACATATGTAGTTACACATACATTAACACATATTCACATTCATACCTTTATACATTTACATACACCATTAATTATTTGTCAAAGAAATGGAGCTGAGAAATAAACCATGAGAGGTTATGGAGCTGAGAGTGATCACCTTTTTCCCATGCTAATCATTAAAGCCTCAGATAAAAATAAAATAGGTTGCACTCTCTCCAAAGACTTATGATAGTAACACAAATTTCTTTGACACATTATTAAATTATTGATGAATAAAAAAACTACAAGAGGCTTTCTAATGGATGTAGCATCATATTAGGACTTACCAATAGAAAATGAACGACATCTCCTCTGCAGAAGGCAAGCATGGGATTCACATAATTTTGCACTGCTACAAAGTGCCAGGCCAGCAGTGGCACACTGGAAGGATCCATCTAAGTAGGGAGATGGAAAAAAAACATCATCACAGTTGATAAACAAGGGGACAAAGAGAAAACTGTGGTTAAAAACAGCATCTGACTAGTGTTCCTTGATAAACTTTCTCCAATTTCTCAGTAAAGCAAGAACTAACTGGGAAGTGTCACGAGGGAACTTTCTGGGTTCATGGTAATGTTCTACACCTTGATAGGAATTTTAGTTACAAAAGTGTTAAGCATTTGTCAAAGTTCAGCAAATGTACACTCAAGATCTGTGCACTTCTTTGTATGTAGATTCTACACCTAAGGAAAAACCTAAAGAAGTATTAAACTCTAGCTAATAATATGTATGCTAAATATTTAGGGGAAAGAATACTGGTTTCTGAAATTTCCTTTGAAATACATAAAAAATATAATTTGATAAGTGGACAGAGGGATGGGTATATGGACAGATATGTAATAAAGGGCAGTAAATGTTATATATAGAATTTAGATGGTAGCTATACAAGTATTCAACGTAAAATTCTTTCAATTTTGTTTGAAAATGTTTATAATAATATGTTGGAAAAAAACCAATAAAAATATTTTAAAAAAGCAAACACATACTACCATGAAAAAAAATCTGAATTTGCCAATGAAGCTAATCTAACAAATGTTAATGGCCATCTAAGCCAGTTTTGCCATCTGAAAGGATAGACCTGCTTCCCCTAGGGCCCAGAGACACACAGGGTACCAACAGGAAAACAAAAGTGAGTTCCTTCACCATAGGGGATGCTTTCTGCACCAGCCAGAGTTCTGTACCACCAATCTCCATCCCATCCTATCAATACCTCTCCTCATATATACATTGGAAGATCACAACTCTGAAAATAACCAAGAAGAAAAGAAAGGGAAAACTGGTATATAAATAACACACGCCAGGAAGTATCATCCTCCAAAGTAAAATACCAGAGGCAGAAGCCAGGGACAGCACATGTAGTAGCAATCTACAGCACATATGACAGTAGGGTCTACTCTATCCACAGTTCAGTGCCAAAGCTGCAGACAGTGAGTATAAGCCTGTCTCAGCACCGCAGCCATGTAAAAATAAGTATCTTTTAAACACTGAAAATCAAGGCTTGGACTCAATAAATCAACTTATCCTTCAACTTTAAATCTGGTAAGGGAATTTTATTGCCCTCAGAAGGACACTGAATGAAGTAGGAAATTCCAATGCATGAAGTTAGGTGTGACCACAGAGTGCCAGGACAGCAATATACAGAGACTGTCAAGTTGAGGTTAAGAACAAAAGCCAACTGTATGCTGTATATGAGAGAAAAGCTTAAAGCGATAAATGTAGAAAAGTACAAGATCTCATGATCCCTAGGACACTGTGCTGGTCATCAGCTTATAATGCCTTGATCACCTTAAGGCAAGTCCAGCTAATGATCTCTGGAGCACTGACTTTCATCCTGTCTAGTTTTCTGACAATCTCATAGAATTCGCCCCTTGCAAGTCATCTCTCTCAACCTCCTGACATGGTCCTTCCTTTGGCCAATAAGATGGAGGGACTTACTCACCCGGCCATAGGGAAAAGTCATCCATACTTTCAAGGATGGTTTCAATCCAATGACCAGTATCTTTAAGAGAAAAATATGTTTTCAATATTGACCTTGTAATTTTCAAATATTTGGTATTCAAAGTTTCTAAAAGTTCTGAGTTTTAACTTCTAAATGCACTTACTTTTGTTAGGGATGCCATGGCCAATAATGAAAACTGTGTGATGGGATGATCTTTCAACTCAGGCTTAGAATGCAGAGGCTCAATACAGCAGACTTCACCCTTGGAACCACTGAACAGACATCTAGATTCACAGGTTCTCACTCCCATCACTCTCCTGAAAATGTAATTAGAAAATTCAGAATCAATTTAGCAATGATTCAAGGCACTACTATCTCTTGCTTGGCCTACTTTAATAGCCTCCTACCTCCTATTCTTAACCCCCAACAATCCAAGCTCCACAGGACTGCAGCATGATCTTTTTATTATACAAGTCAGATTCGTTTATTTTTCTGCCAAAAACAGTCTACTGGCTTGCTACTGTACATAAAAAATAAAATCCAAACTCTTTCCCATGTCTTAAAAGGATATGATCTGGCTCCTCCCTTCACTCCTCTCCCACTATTGTGTTCCTGACAAAGTCACACTCAACCCATGCCTGCTTTCTTCAATCGCTCTAGCAGGCCAAGTTTGTGGCCACCTCAAAGCCTTTGTGCCTGAATGTTCTCTGCCTGGAATATTTCCCTCAGATCTGTGCATATGTTGACTGGCTCACCATTCAGGTATTTTTCCAGATGTTGCCCCTTCTGAGAAAGGCATTCCAGAATCATCCTCAAGTGCAATCTAGCGTTATCCCCTGTCTTGTTTTCTCGCAGTACTTAGACCCATTTGAAGTGATTTCATTTATGTGCTGGTTTGCTGTTTCCTTACCCTTACTGCAGCTAGAATGTAAGTTCTCTTAGAGCAGAAACTTTGCTTGGTTCACAGTTACAACTCTGGGGTCTAGATAAATACCTATACATAGGAGATGCTCAATAAACATTAACTGAATAAGAAGTATGTTTTTTTCAGAAATTACTTTGTGCTTAGCATTGTTAGAAGCTATGAGAAACACAAGAAACAAAGATAGTTGTTAACCTTGGAGAACTTATGAAAACATAATACACAATGAATATTATGTTCTACTTTTCAAAAAACTCTGCTTCCTAAACGCTCTTTGATATGTCTATACAGTCTTTGCTCTTAAAGAGCAAACATGGCAATTCTAAGATAATTAAAAACCTGTTTACACCTGCCCATTATGATTATAATCAACTGGGCCTTCAGCCTAAACCAAAATTAGTGAGCTACTCCAGAAGAGTGGTCCCAAGCTTGACAGCACATTAAGAATCTCCCGGGGAATAGGAGTCTAGAATTCCAACTCAGACCTACTGAGATAAAACTCGGGAGGACCAGGCCCAGAACTCTGTTTGTTCTATTAATATAAGCCTTCCCAGCTAATTGTAATACACAATCATAGTCTACTCTCAATTACAGGGGCTTTCTAGACCTCTTCATGTTCAATTTCAAATCATTTAAACAGAGCTAGTCTTTTCATTTGTCAACAGATGTCCACCAGTCTCTTACTTAAATGTCAATTCAAAAACAGAGCCTCCGCTGTCATTGCAAATTGCAAGAGTTGGGTCATCTGTAAACTAAACAGAGAAGGAATTTATTTTCTTGTAGATTTTTAAACAGTCAAGTATTAAGAAGGAAAAAATTATACAATTTTGAAAAACTACAATATACACATTTAACAGCTTTTGAAATAACCTAAACTAGATTTAGTGCTCATTACTCTAAACATACAAACTTACCTTTATTTAGAGTAATAATGGTCCAAAATCTTTAAAAAAAAAACAGAGGCTTTCAAAAAGCAAAACCACCTTTCATCAGGATAAAAGAAAAATACAAACTATGATTGATAAAAATTCTAAAGTTCTGTACTTGGATTCTTACAATAACTTTTTGTAACTTGCTATTATTAAATAAATGAAATCCTCTGGTTACATTTGCACCTGCCCAGTTTTCAAGAATAGCGACTCTAAAAAATATTTGGTATCTCTAAGAAATAAACTTATCTGAATATGTCTTCTGAATAACTGAAAAGTAAGTCCACTGTATCTAAAACATTTTAACTTTTCATACACAACTCTTCCCAAAATGTGCTACCTCCTTGATCTTCTTCCACAGCAAATACATCAGTTATCACTACCTAACTTAGAAAACTCAGAATAATAAATAATGTTCACAATGACAGACAGTCCTAAGGTGACCTGAAGTATGGTCAATGTTGCAGGACACAAAATGGAATAAAGTGAACTTGTGCCATTTACAGTGACTATCCTCCCTAAACTCAAAGGTTGGTGAACCATCCTAAATGGCATGCCTCAGGTCCTCAGTCAGGGATGGCTGAGGTACTAGAGGCCACTGTAAAATTCTTCTTCCTTTACCCAAACACATGTATAGTTAAAAACCCCAAAACGGCCGGGCGCGGTGGCTCAAGCCTGTAATCCCAGCACTTTGGGAGGCCGAGACGGGTGGATCACGAGGTCAGGAGATCGAGACCATCCTGGCTAACACGGTGAAACCCCGTCTCTACTAAAAAAATACAAAAAAATAGCCGGGCGAGGTGGTGGGCGCCTGTAGTCCCAGCTACTCGGGAGGCTGAGGCAGGAGAATGGCGTGAACCCGGGAGGCGGAGCTTGCAGTGAGCTGAGATCCGGCCACTGCACTCCAGCCTGGGCGACAGAGCGAGACTCCGTCTCAAAAAAAAAAAAAAAAACCCAAAACTTTGCTCTTACGGCCTAGATGAGCAGTTGCCAGAGTGAGAAGCATATACCCTAAGTATGTACATGAAATGGTCCACCGGAGTGCAGGAAAAATAACAGAATTTGTATTTGTTTAATCTTCTATTTCTTGTGTATATGCTTTATAATGTACATAAAAATTAGTACAGTAGTCCATTCATATAAATACACACATACACATAAATACCCATGAAGAATGAAATTTCAAATTGTTATTGATGAGATACAGGCTTAAATTTGAAGAACAACGTGTAGGAGTATTAAAATGCAAGTGGTTGATGTCAATAGAAGACTTCAGAAATATTCAACCCTATGTATCTTACTCCAGTGTTATTACTACATGTACCACCTTCATCACCATTGTCAGGCAACACGATGGCTCCTACTACATATTATTTATCTCAACTGCATTCTTCTCTTTTCTCTCTGCCTTTATCTCTTCTGTTTCTTATTCTTTCTCCCAATATTTTTCTCTGCAAAAGGATTGCTCTTGTATAAACACCACCATCTAGTTTTTCCTTCAATCAAGTACTTATTGAGAGCTTCTATGGGTAAAACACAAAAATAAATGACAAACAGATTGTGATTTCAAAGACGCTCATCTACTAAGAGAGATAAGACCTATATACAAACAACTATAACATATTAAAAGTCGGCACAAGCCATATGAAAAGAGGTCAAGATATATTGCCATAATGCTCTGGAAATTCTCTCCACTTTTACTTTTTTACTTGTCTTGGTTGTTTTCATTGTTACTAAATGCTTCAACGCTGCTCTGTCACAGAAGACTTTTTGTAACTAACCTAGATACAGACATACAAACTCCAGATGCTTCCAGACTTTAAAAAGGATACTTACGGATGACAGAGCTCTGCAGAGCTAAGCAACAAAATGTGTACATGATTAAAATCTAGAAGATCTGATTTTAGACTTTTCTAGTTATAATCCTTTACCTTTTATGCTTCTGAACATGAGCTTGACAGCATGGAATAATCAACATTCACATTGTATTTATAAATGAAATCTGTTACCTAAGTCAGTTTATTTTTTCAGGCCTGTAAGGAGAAAGCCAAGACTAGGATCTTAATGCTTTCCCTTTAGAGGCCTGAAAGAAAATAAACCAATAGATTCATTTCTAAACATAATCCAAACCTCGGTTCTTTCACAATCTGTGCCTTAAACCTCAGGCAACTCCCAAAAAAGGGTGACAGAGCACACCACCTCAGCAATAAAATTTGGATGAACTAAACAAAGGTAAAAAGACTTTTTAAGAGTTCCATATGAGTTTTAGCAGGGAGCTGCCCGTCTTTACTGCCAAACTCTAGTCTAGCAACACATCAATTTGCCCTTTTTGCCGCTATATCTATTAGACTTCAGTACAACTTGAAGCTGAATATTTCCATACTAGCCCATCTCCAGTTTTAACCTGGAAAAACATCACGTTGGGCTAGTCAAATAAAAGACAGCTCAATGTTACGGATTCTATTTATGAGGTAATGTTCAGCTTCATGTTAAATACATTTTTTGGACTCTGATTATCAATATAGAGAAATTTACTTTAAAATAAATACAAAGGCATAATAAAAAAATTATTAGAAAAAGAAAATAAAGCTATTACCTTGATATGCAATATTGCTGTTCCTGGAGGATGAGCATCTGTTATTGATCTTAGAAGTTTTCCACTGGCCAAATCCCACATGGTGATCTATAAGACAACTAAGTGCTTTAAAAACAAATTTATTACTCTTTTTTGGACTTAAGTATTCTGTCTTCTGGTTGGGATAATCTATTCCTTGACTATAAACATTGCAGGCAAAGAACTATAAAGTTAAAACATACCTAAAGGTTGCAGATCCATTAAAGCACTGAGCCTTTATTCGATCTTCATTTACCCCTCATCCTGTCCATCCTACTTTTCCCTTTAGATTTTAAATGTTCTCATACTGAGAGACAAAAGATATTTCTCTAATAAGTCAATCTGTTTAGCACTGGTAAAAAGTATAGGAAGGCCTTACTGCCAAACTAGCTAGGGATGTATAAATCGGAAGATGAAAAAAACCATAACCTATTGCCAGTTTCAGAAGTAGAAAAAAATGCAAAAATCATCATCCAGGAATGCAGAATCTTTCTAAAAAGCAGCCTCCATTATTTACATGACTGTAAGGAAGTACATTTTATATAACACCCCTGGTTGGTTTACAAAAATTATTTACCCAAATAGACACATGAACTAGGATATAAAAAAATTACAGACTCTGGATCAGTTGATAACAATAAAGTAAAATTTTGAACAAGACAAAAATCAGATTCAGCAATCTCTGGTTAGCTCTACAAACATATTACTTCATAACACATATTTTGTGGTCTTTGATCTAAGATATTAGTTTTTTTTAATTGATCTTATTTTAACATTGTCTTATGAATTAAAGGAAGTTCATATCTTACCTGTCCTTTAGCAAAGCCACAAAGAAGTCTTGAGCAATCATTGTTGATACTGAGGGCAGAGATAGCGCCATACTGACCTCCAACACTAGTGCTACCCAGACAGAGTCGCAAAGCTTGATTCTGATCTAAAGAAAGCAGTTTTTAAAGTCAAGTGAAAGAAATGCAAGAGTGTGAATACATCTAGTACAGGCATGCTTTCAAAGACTTGGGAAGTGACAAGAATCAAAAGCAGCAGACAATGAAGTCACATTCATTTTTAAATCTATTTACTGGGCAACTAGCAGATGCTGGGCATTGAATTATACAGAAAAAAAAAAGGCCGGCGTGGTGGCTCATGCCTGTAATCCCAGCACTTTGGAAGGCCAAGGTGAGTGGATCACCTGAGGTCAGGAGTTCGACACCAGCCTGGCCAACATGGTAAAACCCCATCTCTACTAAAAATACAAAAATTAGCTGGGCATGGTGGCTCACGCCTGTAGTCCCAGCTACTCGAGAGGCTGAGGCACAAGAATCACTTAAACTCGGGAGGCAGAGGTCGCAGTCAGCTGAGATCATACCACTGCACTCCAGCCTGCGTAACAGAGTGAGACTCGGTCTCAAAAAAAAAAAAAAAAAAAAAAAAAAAAAAAAAGAATACAGAAAAAAAAAGATCTACAAGAAAGCATAATATAAAATGCTAACGATAAGCCAAAAAATCCATATGAAATCTGTATCTCCTTAAACAAACCGTCATCTGTCTCATCCTAGAATTGTATTTCTTGCTATTTTTAAGATGCAAAGTTATGGGGAATACCATCGTCTTTTAAAATAACTACAAAACTTCAAAACTCAAGAAATTTAATTTAGAATTTGGCTGAAATTTACATTTATATTATCCATAAAGAAAATTTACTAAGCAAATTAACAGTGCAAATTATAGAGTAAACATTTAAACGACTTCAGAAAATTATTTCAAACATCAAAATTTGATATGCTAAAAGTGGCTGGGCATGGTGGCTCACACCTGTAATCCCAGCACTTTGGGAGGCTGAGGAAGGAAGGGTCACTTGAGGTCAGGAGTTCGAGACCAGCCTGGCCAACACAGTGAAACCCCATCTCCACTAATATAAAAAATATAGCCGGGTGTGGTGGTGGGCGCCTGTAATTCCAGCTACTCGGGAGGCTGAGGCAGGAGAATCACTTGAACCCAGGAGGCAAAGGTTGCAGTGAACCGAGATCATGCCACTGCATTCCAGCCTGGGCTACAGAGCAAGACTCTGTCTCAAAAAACAACAACAAAAAGCTAAAAGCAAGTAATTCAAATATCTATTAGATTAAGTTTGATAAGGGCGAGGATCTTGCCTTAATCACCTCTGATTTCTCCAGGAGGCACTCAAATATTTATTAAATTCTGCTATCTAATAATTAATAGAAATTTCTCTAGGGTTTCTCCTAGGCAATGTTTATTGCGTCTAGAGTTCATTATTATACATACTTGAAAACAATGAAATTAAAAATTTAAATGTCAGAAGGCATGCCTACAAAATATAACTATTTAGAAAAAAGCAAAAAACACCATATTTCCACAACCTGGAGTTTTCTCAACTTCCCCAGCACTGTTTGTGCCTCTCTTAATTATCTACATGCAAATTTGGGGGTATGTCTTACTTCCCCTATTACACTATGACGTCTCTGAGGGCTAAGATCATGGCTGAATTAACACTCCCAAAGTACCTTGATTAATGCCTTGTGCTTAGAAGGCATCTGACAATCATCTGAAAAGCTTTCACATTTGCCAATTCTCCTTCTATAAGAGTAAATCTAGTTATCAGACACAGTCATTCATTCTCAGGTCTAAGGAATAATATGAGGTCAGTCCTTTTGTCCATTCAAAGTGAATACTGTAAGAGTATTTTTCTGTGCTCACAAACAGACTTAAATAGAAATCCCCCCTTCCCAAAAAAGAGTTCTGAAACAATGAGTGTAACTACATAGCACACAGAACATACTTGATTTTTTTCACTCATTTTGGATTTTAGCTTTCCAAGGTGAACATTGAAAATGAATAAAACTCATAAATATACAGGGTCTGATGTATTTTAAAAGTTACTGTCTTTATTCACATCTAGAGTTTTACAACTACAGATATTTTTCAATACATCCTGACTGTTCTCCCCCTTACAATTTTTTCACCCTTCCTTGATTTAATCCAAATTATAAAACTTCCCTTTATTCTATAATTTTCCTGACTCTAAATATAACATCACATTTTATTTTGCTCTTCCAAAACTACCTACTTAAAGTAATGTTTTGCATGATCCTTATTTCATCAGAGCCACCCTGTATAGTTAGTGGATTTTCCACATATCTTAATTTGCAAACTGTCATGATATGATGGTTGGGCAATAGTATCCCATATATACCTCTACTCTGGGTCACATGTATAGCTAACAGATGGACTGAAAGTAAGAGGACAAGGATAGAGTTGGTATGAAATTTCATACCCTGGAGTTTGGACCGCTTGCCTTCCAGGCACAGAGCGATGTCTAAGCAGCATACTACCAAGATCCTCTGTAGTCCCTGCTTTGAGATCCAAACTTCACAGAGTTCTGATTCACCAATACGTAAAGACTCTCACTACTACTTTCTAATTTAACAATGTTCATACTTTATATCAGACTATTTCAGGCACAGGAAGTATGAACAGGAGAACTGAGGATATGATAACAAAGAGAGTAAGGGTACCATGAAGAGGAAATAGAAAAGAATGGCAATGGACGAAATGAGGGAAGGAAAAGGACATAACTTCTAGATTAAAAACCAAACATGACCATGCCTTCCTGACTACTGTTCCCACATACCATCAACTAGCTAAGACAGGGAAGTAAATTATCAATCTTAGCCATTCCTGAAATATGGATTAAATTCACAGCCCACAAATCTGTTAATGGAAACATTCTCAACTTTTTTCTTGATTTTTTACAATGTATTTGTTGTTTTTATAATGTCCCTTTAGAAGGTATCGTGACTATGAAACCAGACACCTGGATTTTAATTCCACCCCTACCCCACGGATAGTTACGAGCCTTACAACTACAGCATGTCTTGGTAATTTTAGGAACGTTACTTAAATTCACTTAGCCTCCCTATCTTCATCTGTAAAATGTAGAAAATGCCCATTATCTCACTGTGTTGCTAAGAGGAATAAATGAGTAAAGTAAGATAACGCACCAAGGAACCAATTCAGTGTCCCTTGAGTAGTATTAAGTGCTCATCACAAACTAATCTATAGATTACATTCATATATACATTTAAAAAAAACAGCAGGGATGGTGAGAGACATGATGGACAGTGTAACAAATGTAATCTACTTTGACTCCATAAAGATATTTATCAAACTCTTATTACTATCTTCATACATTCGTTTTTGTTTTTTTTTTTTTTTGAGACGGAGTTTCGCTCTTGTTGCCCAGGCTGGAGTGCAATGGCACGATCTCAGCTCATAGCAACCTCCACCTCCCGGGTTCAAGCTATTCTCCTGCCTCAGCCTCCCAAGTAGCTGGGATTACAGGCATGCGTCAACACACCCAGCTAATTTTGTACTTTTAGTAGAGACGGGGTTTCTCCATGTTAGTCAGGTTGGTCTCGAACTCCCAATCTTACGTGATCCGCCCACCTCAGCCTCCCAAAGTGCTGGGATTACAGGCTTGAGCCACCATGGCTGGCCACTCCTCTTCATACATTCTATTCTTATAGTACCATTTTAACAAACTTGCTGTTATATAATCTAGACTAAATTCAGAAAAGGTAGACTTTCCATGGAAAGAAGAAAGCAGTCTCATTGAAGAGGTTTCTCCTGCTAGAGTAACTAAACATTCTGTAGTCCAGAAAATTCTGGACAATTCTGGGAAATGATATTTGAGCAAAATAAACATAAAACCTCTTCAAAACACTTAAATTCCATGGATACATGTAAAGAACAAAATGACCTGGACAGAAGGTGAAAATGAGAGCTACTCCAGATTACTCTTGGATTTCATGAATTTAGAAGGAAAAATTCTATTCTCCTCCTCCTCTCTGAAGTCTCCTTTGTTTACAGTTGGAAAAAGTTATTAAATTAACAGTATATCTAATTTCATTTCAAAGTCACATAAAGGTATATTTGATTAGTACTGTCAAATTTGTGTTTTAAAAAAATTGCAGTGGGTCTTAATAATGGTTACCCTGGCAAGAAATATGAAATGAGACTATCACCTTTCTTATAAACTTCACTGAGTCGACAAAGAGTTTTGCCTATGAAAAATTAGAAAATCATCAAATGGCACAAATGCAAGGAATTATTGTTTATGACAGTAATATAGCTTACCAATTAATTTAGATAACTTGAAGGCCAAATATCACAAACAGCACATCTATTTAGCATTGCCCTGAATTATATCTGTATCTTTTATTAGTATGTCTATCAAAGTACACTTTGCTTAGAGTAGATCTCCTCAGCATATTCTGGACTTAAGAATAACATGCTGAATAGCAAAGAAAAGTCACAAATAATGTACAAAGTCTGTAATAGCCCTAAAATCTAAATTTGAACATACTTCAAGAATTTCTGTTAACTCTTTCCATATACCAAAATTAGCCCAATCTTCTATTTCTTTACCCTCAATTAGTTTTAATTAGTTCTAAAGACTATCAAAGAAGGAAATACCTACATCCTAGCAGGAATCCAATTTAATTTTGTGTGTGGAACTCTACCTTTATTGGCCAATATTCACTATTCTTTAATGCTACTCTTTTCTTATCCTTTTTTTTTTTTTTTTTTTGACAGAGTCTCACTCCGTCACCCAGGCTGGCACCATCTCGGTTCACTGCAGCCTCCGCCTCCTGTGTTCAAGCAATTCTCTTGCCTCAGTCTCCCAAGTAGCTGGGATTACAGGCACGTGTCACCACACCTGGCTAATTTTTGTATTTTTAGCAGAGACGGGTTTCACTATGTTGGCCAGGCTGGTCTTGAACTCCTGACTTCAAATGATCCGCCCACCCTGGCCTCCCAAAGTGCTGGGATTACAAGCGTGAGCCACCACATCTGGCCTTTTCTTATCCTTTATTCACACTAAAATATTCCCTAGGATCAAGGGAGAAAAGATCTAATCAGGAAACATTTTTCATCAATGATCATAAAACAACAGAAGCACTTTTACCTGACCTCCATCAAACCAACTCGCAGAATTCAAGTTCTCCTTCCCTCTGTAAGGCTTACTGACTGAAGCCAGGGCATACTGAATCCCCATGGCTAGTTGGATATCTTCCAGAATGCTGATGCTTACTATGAGTCAGCTGTGTTCATTCCCAAGCCTGTTCATGCCACTGTAATGTTACTGTACTTTAAAACTTAAACAGTAAATAAACTAATGAAACAGAGTGAAAAAGAAAGAGCTGTTGTTTCCATGAACATTAAATGGATGGTTTAGAAAAACTTGGTAAAGATGAGTTTCTTTACAAAACTGTCACAAAATAAGGTGTTCATAATATAACAGGATTTTGCATGCAATGATTGATTCACAGGTGCTTAAGCTTTTACCTCATTTTTAAAACTTAAAATGGCAAATTTTGCATGACCCATTAATGATAAAGTTTATGCCAAAAAAGATACTTCAGGACTCCAAGTGGCAAATACAAACTCAAAGAAAAAGTTTGGGACTACAACAAAAGATCAAGGATAAATGAAAATTTATGTATTTTCAGTTAAAACATTGAAAGTATATATATACTTATAGTTTTTCACAATTTCCTGCTTAACTAATTTTTCAATTAGCTGGTTTTATTCCAATAAGTATTTCATAAGAGGACACTGACTATAATTGGTAGCATTCTTCTAACATTAAAAAGGCCAAAAGAAAAGAAATCATTCATGCAAACTAAAATTACTTACTATACCTTTTCCTTTTGAATCCATGAAGAAAAGATCAAGAGAGAGAAAGAAAAGCAAGAAATCAGTTCAAAAGTTCGAAGAAAAGGCAGGTAAAAAATTTCAAGAATATACGTGACAAGCTTTAGTTATCTGTGGGAATGATACTAAATGTGATTAAGTGATGTCTCTAGCATTTATGATTATGCTCAGCTATGGTTATGGGAAAAAAAAATCCATAATACTCTCATTATAGCAAAGTAAGTAAATCCATGTTTAAGTGAGATAAATACAAAAACAATTTCAAAAAGATAATCTACTAAAGTACACTAACAACCAAAAAAAAAGAGGAAAACTAAGGCCCCCTGGGATGGGGAAACATCTTTATTAAGATTTGAACTTTTGAGACTCTGTATAAGGTAAGTACCAACATATTTTTTTAAAAGCTATATGCCTATAATTACTTAAGAAGAGGCAATAAACATCAGTCTTCAAGAAACTTATAATAGTTTCTATCTTAATGAACTGGGCCTCTGTTTCAAAGAGAAACATATAGTACTTAAACAAGTATAGCTCTTCCTGTTACACTTTCTCCTATGATCAACACAGATGTTTAACAGAGATGAGATCTAACCCAGGCCTCTAGACACTTTATAGTATTATTACTCTGCCATTTGTTCCCAGGCTTTCAAGCATATTTTAATCTATTTGTTAAAACACATTGTCCAAACATCTGATTCCTATAAACAGTAATGAGTAAAATTTATTAGCCACACTATTAATACCCAAAGCACAACCAGAATATTATGATTCTTTCTCACAATGTTCACTTTGACATACTTTCTTTTCCATGAGACTGTAATGAAAGATTATTATTTTCTCATATCTACAGGAAAGCTGCTGGGTCTTAAAAAAAAAAAAAAAATCAGGAACCAGGCCCAAGGAAATTAAAGACAGTATCAAAAGACAATGTTGTCTTTTCCTCTGTTAGTTTTTGTTTGTAAAGTATTCATTTTAATTTGTTTGCAGTAAGCTATACTTGAGTTTGATTATAAGCAGTCACATATTCTTATAACATTGACAAGAAAAGGATGTTAAAGCAGATAGAGGTGAGAAATGAGTACTGGTAAGTGGGAACAAAAAATTAACATGCAATTTGCTGACAAATATATGCATTATAATCTATTCTCCTTCACCTTAGTTCTTTTATTCTTTTCTTCTTATCTTAGAATTGGCCTCCTTTTCTCTCAGGATAGCAGAATTGCTTAGAATAGTGGAAATACACTTATATAGGATTCAGCATTCCTCAATGAACTTGGCTGAACTTGGCTCTGTGCATGTCACTTAACCTCTCTGGTCCTCAACAGCCTCAGAAGTAAAATAAGGGGACTGAACTAAACGACCTAAGATTCTTTCCCAAAATTCTATTTATCTAACATTAATTATGCCCCCCAGGAAGACCACCATTCTGAACACCTGATAGGAGAGAAGGCTGATAGAACTTTTCTAGAGGGCCATTAGATAATACATATCAAAATTCTTAATGTTCATCTCCTAATCCAAGCAATTCCACTTTTAGGAATATCTGTCCTAAAAAAGTAATCATGGACACAGAAATGTAGTAACAAAGATGTTCATCACAGTAGTATACGTTTACAAACAACTTAAATGTCTTATAGTAGGAAATGATTAAGTAAATTAGGAAGAATCCATTTAATAGAATACTATGTAGCCATTAAAAATGTTACAGACAAAATATATAACTTCATGGAAAGATATTCATTATCATGAAAAGCAGTTTACAAATTAACATGATCCCATTTGAGGATGTATAGATACATATATACAAGTACAGAAAAAAAAGACTAAAAGGTTACATACAAAAAATGTTAGGGATTATTCCTGGATGGCAGGATTTGGTATATCTTCAACTTTTTGCTCATCTATATTTTCTATATTTTCTACTATGAATATATATCAACTATCCAGGTTTTAAGTCTTTTTCAACCAATTCCAAATTCCTTCAGGGAATTATAATTTTGTTTCTACTCTTCTGGTCCCCAAATAATAAAACTCTATTATTTAACTCAATTGCCTTTGAAAAGACTAGGTTTTACAATTACATTTTAAAAAGCTTTTGTCATAATACAAAATTCATAATAGTAAGTCAAATCATTCAAAACCAACAGAAAATAACTAGTTATCCACTTATACAGTAAATAAGGATGCAAGGCCCCACAGAAGTCAAATTGTGGTTCTGCTATTAAGAATTCTCAGGTAATCCATATAAAATAGTCTGTAGATTCCTTACTAAATACAGTGTCATCAAGTCTTTCATTTAAGGGAGATGAAACAACTTAATATCCAGAAGAGAACACTAAAAATGACCCCTCAAAAAAACTAACAGTTTTTTATTTTTTATTTATTTATTTATTTTGAGACGGAGTCTCACTCTGTTGCCCAGGCTGGAGCACAGTGGCACAATCTCGGCTCACTGCAACCTCAGCCTCCTGGGTTCATGCGATTCTCCTGCCTCAGCCTCCTGAGTAGCTGGGATTACAGGCATCCGCCACCACACCCAGTTAATTTTTTTCAGTAGACACAGGGTTTCACCATGTTGGCCAGGCTGGTCTCGAACTCCTGACCTCAGATGATCCACCTGCCTCAGCCTCCCAAAGTGCTAGAATTACAGGCATTAGCCACCATGCCCGGCCACAAAAATCTAATAGTTTTTTAATTTAAAAAGAACAAAATATTCTATTCATACATTGAATTCAAAAACAAAGAAGGTTTAATGAAACTACAGTCATTTAGTCTCAGGTAGAAAAAAATGAGAAAATACAACTATCTTCTACTATACAAATAAAACTAGTTCTCTTTCAACCAAGAAAGCAATGTGATTACAGGCCAAAAAAATTTCGGTTTAGAGCAATTTACATTGGAAATTTTAAAAAAAGCTTATTGTCAGTGAGAGCTCCTGAAAATTACTGAGAAAGCCTGTTTTCCGGAAGATCTTTTAGAATACCCATTACGGGAACGTGATTCAGAATCAAAAATTCCCACCACCAACAACCGGAGGCAGACAAGATGATAACCCAAGGTTCCCCTCAACTTTATTCTTTGTGTCTAGGTTTGCAGAGAGATCAATAGATATGACAGTTTATAAATTCATGAAGAAGAAAACAAACTTGCAATAAGCAGCAAAACAAAGCTGTGAGTCAAATAATTTTTAGCTATAAAAATATTGACTGCTACTTTTCAAGTTTTTCTGGTTTTGTTCAAGAAAATCAAGTACACTATATAAACTGTGATTAAAGGACATTATAAAACCCAAAAGGACAATATTTAAAAGCAGGAAAGCACTTAAAAAATTTACCAAATATTAAAGCCAATCCATGAGATGTACCCACTGCTATCAGACTGGACACTGCCTGAAAACAAAAGGGAAGATTACATTTTAAGATACTACATTAAGAATCTTGAAATAATCAGAGTTGAATTTGTTGGCCTTCCTTCCTCTAGGCACCAGATGACATACAAACTATTGTAAATAAGAAGAATTTCATCCAGGAGGCAAAACGGGAAATGAAACTCAGGACATTTTATTTCTGAGAATCCCTCTAAATTTACTCTAGGAGTAACACTATCAAAATATCATATGTTCAACATTATAGGCAATAACATGCCACTTAGCTTCCTCTAAAGCAACTTTCAAATAAAAAATCAGGGGTCCAGGCAAAGTAAGAGGCACTTATGCTACCCAACCAAGAGCTTCCTACAAGGCCTGGGGAAGAGATGAGAACACAATTCTCTAGTTTATCCACAGGAGCCTAAAGGCATCCAAAGTGTTGAAAACTCACCCACTTCCTTACCAAAGACTGACTAAAAGGAAAGCTAAAAAGGCACTGGAGGAAGACAAGAAGAGAGAGAACCAGTATGTTTTCAATATCCCCTAGTTCTCTACAATACTGCAGCAGAGTTCTATTTGGCAAGCCTGGCAACGGAATCCAGAGCTGTTAAATGTGCTATTTACCACAAAGTGATCCTATCAAATGATGCTTTCCACTCCTTATGGAAGGGGAGCCAAATCACAGAAGAAGTAAATTTACTTGGGCAGGGTGGTACCACGAACAAATAAACCTGGAGAAGGCTAGTATTACTCCATTATCTGCTTCTCAAATAAAACTCTAAAAAGTAAAAAATTAGGAAAAAAGAAAGCGCCCAACATGGACAAATGTTAAGCCTGATTACTGGTAGTAAAATGACTTATGAATTTATTACCATAATAACTTATGTAATATTTTGAACCATGTAATAATAAATCTAAGAAAACCCAATCAAATAAAAAGCTTACCTTTAAAAAGTTCAAGTATACTTACAATTGCTGTAGGCAAGCCAGCATCTACTTTGTCCTAAATGAAAGTTTTAAGAAAGTATTTGAAAAATATTCTCATTTTTAAAACAGAAAATGGTATAAGGCTCTTGCTTTACATACACTTTGGTCCAAATCAATTTAGATTAGAGGTGGAACCTTTATTTTTGCCCCCATCTAAGAGAAATCACAAAAGCTATATATACCAACAAAATACAAAGGGCATGAAAGAGGATTGCTTTATTTTACTAAGTATATAAGTGCCTTTACGAAGTAAGATGCCTCAGGGAGGGTACTGATTATAACGGAAATGCAAAGGAAAAAGAGGAAAGATGTTCCATTTTCTGTACTTGAATAAACTATAAGTACTATGGGGTCAAAACAGTAGCAGTACATAAAGATTTGAGAAAAGTAAACATGCTAAAGATGTTTCTACTACTAAGTAGGACTTTCCTATCTAGCAATTACCCAATAACCTCTAAACAAACCCCAACAGGGTATATTAAGTCAGTTCTCAAGCATAAGAAATTAAAACATAAAGAAGTGCTAGTCCCACCTCCCTACCGGTAACTACATGGCATTCAAAAAGTCACCTAACTTTTCTGAATATTAGTCTCCTCATCTGTTCAAAGAAATAGCAAATACCGCCCTATTTACCTCAGTGAGCTGTCCTGAGGATCAAATTAAATGTGAAGAATCAGACAAATATGGAAGAGTATCAATTCTATGCTTACATAGCTTTAAATAACCCTAAGAGTTTGTAGTGATACAGTACTGTAGTAGCAAAGAGCTTGCATATAGCAGCATCTATCCAACTTTGAGTGTATATATATCTGTGTGTCAAACATGCCTAACATAATGCTCGACAATTAAGAAGCATGTAATACATAGTTGATAAATGATTAATTTGCATCTAGACAGGGAAAAAGAGAAATGGGACAGCAGATAAAGGTCATAAACTCTAGTAAGACCTCACTTAATGTTGTCAGTAAGTTCTTGAAAACTGTGACTTTAAGCAAAACAACTTAAACCAATTGTTTTTTCTTCATTAACATTATAACAAAACGACATTGAACAAAATGATGTTATTCGAAGGCCTATTCTACATTCAAAATAGAGCCTGAATAATGAAATCAGAAGTCGCCTGACTTCAAAAGCTAAAAAAACACAGATATTTGGAAGCATTGTAGAGATTACAGAATTTTAGTACTGGTGTTGCAATATCTAACGGTAGTGGGTCTCAAAAGCTAAAATGCATAAGAATCACCTGGGATGCCTGTATGCCTGGGATTCTGTAGGTCTGGGGTGAGCCCCAGGAATCTGCAATTTAATCAGTACCCTAGGAGATCGTTATACAGCGGACGCATTTTGAAAAAAACACTACAATAAGCTATCTCTAGTATTTTAAAGTTGATCGTAAAAATAATAAAGATCCTTAAAAAAAAAAAAAGTTACTTTGAATTAAAGTATGGTCACATGTCATATGACTTTGAAAAGGATCCCAAATTAAAAAACGAGCTTCACAACTGCAAAAATTTCATCTCTCCTAAGCGTTTTCCATGCATGAACCCCAAAACTGTGATCAAGGCCCAAAGCAGCCCTAATAACATCACTAACCACATGGCTGAAGGTGCTATTGAGCAATTATTCAGGGAGAAATATCCAAAAATATAACTAGCTTTACATGTTAATAAACCAACCATCACAGGAAAGCATGCAATTTAAATTGAGCTGGTAATCCAAAAATAGGAAGGCACCGTATGATGACTGTCACAGGAAAGGCAGTTTTCATTTTAACATACCAAAGGAGCTCAGCCATAGCAATGAAATAAAAACAGAATGCAAACACTCTGGGATTTATTAGAATTTCCCCTCCTCTTCAAGGGGAAAGAGAAACCCTTTTAAATAACAGATTTATCTAATCATTGTTCAGAGTCTGAGTTTTAGCTCAGTCTCCAATATTCAAAATATTTTTAAAACTGCACAGGTGGGTCAAATGACTGTTCTGGTTCATCTTGATTTTGAAAGGAATGAATTTCATCACCTACATAAGGATTAAATTCAGAAAACGTCATGGAAATGTAATCCTCAACAGGTGGTTCCCATTCTAGCAAATATGAGTTACTCTCCACCTAAAAGAGGAAAAACAATTGCCCAGGTTTCCTCCATTGCTTGTTGAGCATCTCTCTATTTAAATTTACTTCATGATATATGAGCTAGGTCAGGATACACCAATTGTTATAGTAAATACTTTTTTTTTTTTTTTGGTATTTGCACTAAGGGCTTTTTCTGATAAACCTGAAAATTGAAATGCAATTGTGGTATCTCGTAATTCTGTATCAATCTCTCACCCTCGTGAAAAATCCAAACTTTTATTTCTTGTCCAACTTGGATATGCAAAATGCCGATTAAATGCCCCAAAAAGAACATAAAAACACATCAAACTTCCTGGAGTATAAATCTGTCATTATCATTATATATAGAATCTATACATTGTATTCAGAAAACCAAAACTGAAAGACTACATAAAACTACCAGCTGTGAGGTCAAATGAAAAGTCTGATAGTGTCAAACGAAAAGTCTGCCATCTATGGACCATTAAATACTGTTTACGTTAACCCAGTGCTCTACATAATTTTCAAAAAAGGCCACAAATATTCTGTTCCAGCCATTTCACACATTCGTCGCATTCACCAGTGCCACCTCCAGTTCACAACAGAGGCACTACACTTGAAGCCAGAAACCCCAGTTTTGAATAAATGCCTTGCTACCTCCTAACAGAATGATCTAAGACAAGTTACTATCACCTTTCTGGGCCTAGCTTCTCATTTGTAAAATAGAAAACAGCTTTACCTACTTTCCAAGTTGTAAGAATAAAAGAAATAAGGGGCATGAAAATACTTTTGTGAATTATAAAAAAATCATTCAAGTTGTAAAAGATTCTGATCAATCATTTCTCCATATGAAAAGAGTAAAAAAAAAAAAAAAAAAAAAAACCAAACACAGAATCTCAACAAATACACAAGATGGCAACTAAACTGAAAAGGAATTTAAAGAAAAGGCAGATAGTATTTATTTTCGGCTTGCTGCCATATTTCATTTAGGCACAGCCTAGACTCTGAGCAGAACTTTATTTTCATGGCTGCACTAATTTCTATGTCAAGACGTGTAGCCATGTCACACAAAAACCATGAAAGCCAGATTCTATTTTTCTTAAGCCTCAGGCCAAGAGAAGTGCTGTATTTTGTTTTATGCTCATTCCTACTTTATTATGCCATTGCAGGTTACAAAGTTGAGGGAAAAAAACAAAATACTTACAGCTGCAGACACTATCTGGGCAGAAATTCCCTTCAAAAGTGAATGGCGCATAACTGATCCATGGAGTGAAAAAGAATCAGGTAATTTCTTCTTCCTAAAAATAAAGAAAAACATTTAAAAACAGCCAAAACAAGTGAAAAGGCGAGGTCCCAATGCTTTGAAAGAAAACACACATGCACAAAAAGCAGAAGACAACATTGTATGTTATTTGTTAGATCTGTTTTTAAAAGATGTATGAAGTATCTAACAATCCCACCTTAAAATGTATTAAACCCGCCTTGAACCTCAAAGAAGCACAAGCAGGAAAATGAATCAAATCACCATTCCTTTCTCACGATTCAAACTGCTCCATGCCCACCTTAGGAAATGCGACAGTAGGTTCTCACGTTCTCCAGAAGGCTGACTACAGCGCACTCCTCCGGCCTGCAAGTCTACATTACCCTACTGCCTTCTTACCCTTGCTCACCTTTCCTGCGCTGCTGCTCCTCCTATGACCAAACTCTCATTCTTCAACCACTTCCTCAAATCCCCCTTCTACTCATCCTCATATAAAAAGTAACTTTTAAACTTTTACCCAACATTACTGAGCACCTACTCTGTATGACTAGAAGTATGCTCTGGGAATACAAAAATAAGAAAGTCACAGTTACTACTGTCAAGGATCTCACAGCTTAGAGAGGCTGAGAAGTAACTCTAAAGAATGAATGTTACACTAGAAATATGAATTAAGTGCCATATAAATGCAAATGAAGAACAGTTTAATTCTGTTTATTTGGGGGACATTAGGGATAGCTATCGAAAAGAGAAGATGACTAATTTGACCTTAATGGATGACTAGGAGTTTGTCAGGCAAAAAGCATGGGCAGAAATATGAAGATGTAAAGGTGTGCAGTGTGTCTGGGGTATTCACACACAAAAGGTATGGACTAGGAGGGCTGAAGTACGAGTGCTTAGAGATTAGGTCAAAACAGTAAGCATGGCCCAGACGGAGGCCATGCAGAGGAGTTCTGACTTAATCTTGTAGGTGACAAGGTGACACCATATCTTTTTATTTATTTATTTATTTATTTATTTATTTATTTAGAGATGGAGTCTCCCTCTGTCACCCAAGATGGAGTGCAGTGGCGCGATCTTGGCTCACTGCAAGCTCTGCCTCCCAGATTCATGCCATTCTCCTATCTCAGCCTCCCGTCGAGTAGCTGGGACTACAAGCACCTGCCCCAACGCCCAGCTAATTTTTTGAATTTTTAGTAGAGACAGGGTTTCACCGTACTAGCCAGGATGGTCTTGATCTCCTGACCTCGTGATCCGCCTGCCTCAGCCTCCCAAAGTGCTGGGATTACAGGCGTGAGAGACCACGCCTGGCCAATGACACCGTATCTTTTAAGCAGGTAGTAACCAGATCATCAAAAACATTTAAGTTATCTATTTGAAGGACACATTGCTGAACAGGTTAACATAACGTCCTGTTCAGCAACGTCCCCTATCCCATAAGAGATAACCTAAAGAAAAGAGCACTGACACAGGCAAAATTGAAGAAGAAAAACAGATCACTTTATCAATATTAAAGTTACACATGAATTCAATAATGTATTTATGATTTCTCCACTTCTCTTTCCTTTTCATATTCTCTCCAAGAACTTGGAAGGTGAAAAGCAGCCCAAATTTAAGTTATTTAGGTTTAGAAGTCTTTTTCCTGAAATTTTAATCATCTTTGTGATTCTCTGAACCCACTCCAAGAGAATGAAGGAAGGCCGATCTTAGAGAATGCAGATGACAGGGAGGTGCGGGAGGGTGCGCAGAACAGAAGGGTAGTGAACCGAGCTGCATGTTTCCACCACAGACACTGTGCCAGGTTTAATCTGTACTTCCTCCAAGGGCTCTCCTGCTTCCGGGAGTCCCTGGCTATCATTATGGCTTCCTACCGAAGTGGTCATAGCACCTACCCTTTTACCTTCTTCCTTAATGGTGCCAAAATCTTCAAGATATTATATCCCTTCTACTTCCTATGCAAGGCTTCAACAGACCATATTGTACTTTAAAAAGTACAATAGAGTACAATATTTACATTTGAAACAATTAAATACTTCAACTGTAAGCAAGTATGACTCACATGAATACCTACCTCTTTAAGTTGGTCCTGTCACCACTGTCTGAGCTTGCCACAGATGAAGTATCATAGGAGTGAGAATCAATAGTATCAATGTTTAACAATGTAGGATCCTCAAGAACAAAAGACTCATCTTCATCATCAGTCTAAATTGGAAGAAGATAAATCAATACATTCAAAATCCAAATACTCTATGAAATAAGACAGGTATTAATGGGTTTCTCCAGAGCACACAAGTGCTTATTTCTGCCTTTCACCTCCATTCCATGCATTCTTATTGACCAGAAAGGCACCATACAGAATTATTAGTATTAAATTCTAGATAGCTATTTCTTTCTACAAAGAAGTCACCCCAAAAACTTCTTTCTTGTAGCAGGAAGAAGCAGAAGCCGTTATGCAGATTACTGTTAGCTATAGAATATTTCTTAAAAATCAAGCTTTTACAGATGAGTTAGCAGTTAACTAACAGCCAATGGCTCATTTGAAGAAAACAAACACCATCTGACTATAAATAGTCTACTATAAAAAAATATGACAAGCAGACAGCAGAAAGGCATTCGGGTTGGAAACAGCACAGAAAGACTCAGTGATTTCACAATGCAGATTTTGTCCATGGGAAAAGTAGTAGTCCAAAATGTCTGGAGGATATAAGCAGAAGCTGGAGATGACCCTAGAAAGATAAGCTGGTACCCAAACCATAAAAAGCCTTATATTCCATTACACTAGATGGCAGCAGGGCCCATGTCTATCTTGTTCATCATTGTACCTCTAGTGCCTAGTATAATGCCTGACACATAACCAGTACTCATTTAATGAGTATTCAGTATACTATATATAGCAGGCAGTGGGAAGGCAACTGACATTTTTAAGAAGTGGAAAGACATGATGGGAACCATGTTTTAGAAAGATAAGTGGGGCAGTATGAAGAATGGATGAGGGGGAACAAGAAGACTTTAAGGACCAGTAAGAGGGCCATTGCACTATCAAGGAGAAACAGGAGATCCCAACCTAAGAAGCTGCAGAAGAGGTCACCAGAGGGAATGATGAAACACATTACTGAGAAAAAATCAAACGTCTCTGGTTACCATTGAAATGGGGGATTGAGTAGGGGTACGGATGGGAGGAGAGGTAAGGGAGAAGTCAAAGAAGAGTACAAGGTTTCCAGCTTCTACAACTAGGCAAAGGGTGATTCTACTCACTGAAACTAGAAAGCAGACAAATGGCAGATAAAGCAGGATGAGGTACTTGGCTTTGCACAAGTTGATTCTGGGTGACAAATACCAGAGAATGATGTCTCACCGTCTCTTTCAGCTGCACTACCTTCTGCCTTACCATTTCCAATCAATGTGCTTGAGAGATTAATGTCTACTCACTACCTCGACTCCACTCATTACAAGCTCCTACCAACCTTGCTGATGTTACTAGCCAAATCTACTGGTCTGCTTTCTGTTAGTGTGTTCTTGTCCTCCAGGCATCATTTAACCCTGTTGACCATTCCCTGTCACCCAGGCCAGTATGCAGCAGCACAATCACAGCTCACTGGAGCCTCAAATTCCTGGACTCCAGCAATCCTCCACTCCAGCCTCCAAGTAGCTGGGACTACAGGTGCATGCCACCACGCCTGGCTCATTCCCTACATCTTGAAACTTTCTTTTCCTTTGGTTTTCCGTACATCTCTCCTTCCTGGTTCTCCACTAATTTATGTGTCCTCCTATTAGTCACATGCTAGCTTCTTCTCAGCCCAACCTTTAAATATGATTGTCCCTCAGGATTATACTCTAAGCTCTCTTCTTCTCTTCCTACTTCATGTACTTCCTATTTGAGTAAGCTCACCCACATCTATAGCTTTAAGAACCATGTTATCTAATGACTCCAAAATCTGTGTCTTTAGTATCAACATTTCTCAAGGTTTAGGTCCAAATTTATAACTGCTTTCCAGATATCTCTACACATAGGTCTTCTAAGAACAGGGTTAGGACTGGCAATAAGACAATATGTTGCTTGAGTGCTGTAAAGATTGGAACAATTGCTGTAGGAAAAGGGAAGGAAATAATTCAGAAATAAGTATGGCAGCATCAAGATCTTAAACAAGAGAGTCAATCAAAATGTTATTTGATTTTCTTAAAAAGTCTGGGGACATAATTAAAGAAAAGGGATCACATGAATTAAGCCAGGCTTACAAGATAAGTGAAAGAAAAAGTGAAGAGAAAAAAAGAAGTGAAGATGTCAAGACTGAATTTAAAACTACTGCTGCACAGCAAAAGTATCAATTATCCCCAAACTGATGTGAAAAAAACTGCACAATCCTTTCAAATTTCAGCTGATTTGTGTATGCGTATGTGTATATGTGTGTGTGTGTGTGTACTGATAAACTAATTCTAAAACTTACATGAAAATGCAAAAAAAAAAAAAGGCAATCTTGAATAACATTAAAGCTGAAAGTTTTTAAACTACCAGATACCAAGACCTATTACAAAGTTTCAATCACTAGAATGTGAGATTGAGGCAAGTATGGACACACCAATGGACTCAGATCCACACATATTTATATATCCACCTGATTTATAACAAAAGTGACACCAGACGAGAATACTCTTTTTAGTACATGGTGCTGGCTCATAGCTCACACTAACACACCCAAAAAAAATTCCAGATGAATTACAGATCTACATATGACAGGAACAATGAAAATGTTAGAACAAAATAGGATAACATCATCATAACCTTGGAATTGGAAAAATTTTCTTAAATAGGACACACACATGCACACAAATGGAAATTTTTAATAAGCTGAACTATATTAAGAACTTGTGCTCCTCAAAAGAAACTATTAATAGAGTGAAAAGGTAATGTACATAAAGAAAGAAGATGCAATATGTATATCAAATAAAGGGCTTGTATTAGCATACATAAAGAACTCCTATAAATCACTTAAAAAATAAAACAACAGAAGTGGGCTAATTATAAGAAAAAGCAATTCGCAGAAGAGATATCTAAACATATGTCAAAGTACCCAATTTCATTAGTCTTTAGGGAAATTCAAATTAAAACCATGATGTGATAGCACCACACATCTGTTAAGAATGAAAGTGAAGCCGGGCACGGTGGCTCACGTCTGTAATCCCAGCACTTTGGGAGGCCGAGGTGGGCGGATCACAAGGTCAGGAGATCGAGACCATCCTGGCTAACATGGTGAAACCCCGTCTCTACTAAAAATACAAAAAATTAGCCGGGCGTGGTGGTGCGTGGCCTGTAGTCCCAACTACTCGGAGGCTGAGGCAGGAGAATGGCGTGAACCCGGGAGGCGGAGCTTGCAGTGAGCCGATTTCGCGCCACTGCACTCCAGCCTGGGTGACAAAGCGAGAGTCCGTCTCAAAAAAAAAAAAAAAAAAAAAAAAAAGAATGAAAGTGAAAAAGACAGAAAAATTCAAAAGTTTACAAGGATACAGTAATCAGAAATCTCATACACTGTTCCTGGAAGTGTATATCAAACCACCACTTTGAAAACCTGTGCCAATATATACTAAAGCTGAATATAACTATACCTGATGACCCACTAACTCCACCCCTAGGTATCTGCCCAACAGAAATGTTTATAAAGCTGGGAACAGTGGTTCATGCCTGTAATCCCAGCACTTCGGGGGGCCAAGGCAGGCAGATCACCTGAGGTCAGGAGTTAAAGACCAGCCTGGCCAACATAGCAAAACCCCGTATCTAATAAAAATACAAAAAACTTTGCCACGTGTGGTGGCACATGCTGGTAGTCCCAGCTACTCGGGAGCCTGAGGCATGAGAATCACTTGAACCCAGGAGGAGGAGGTTGCAGTGAGCCCTGATCATACCACTGCACTCCAGCCTGGGTGACAGAGTGAGACTGTTTCAAAAAAAACAAAATGAAAACAGACAAAACCCAGAAATATGTGTAAGTATGTATATGCCAAAACACACGAATAGGAAAATTTACAGCAGCACTCTTCATAGTAGCCAGAAATTAGAAACTACACAAATACATATCAATAGTAGAATGAATAAAGGTATATTCACAAAGAATTTTACACAGCAATGTGAACAAATCTAAAAACATAATACTAAGGGAAAGACGTCAGAAACAGAAGACTACACACTATATAATTCCATTTATATAAAGTTCAAAGCAGGCAAAGTAATCAACGCTAGTAGAAGTTACAGTAGTAATTAGTCTGGGTTTGGGAACTAAAAGGACACAAGATGAGCTTCTGGGGTACTAGTAATGTTCTGTTACTTTATCTGGATTCTGGTTACACAGGTTGTTCAGTCTGTTAACATTCACCACACTGTACACTTATGATTTGTGCACCTTCCTCTATGTATGATATACTTCAATGAAAAGTTCAAAAGAAATTTCTGGCTGCACAATCCAATAGCAGGATTGAAGTAAACCCAGGACTATTATCAGAGACTGGGAGATTAGAAAGGGTCAAAAGACTTGATCTTAATGAGGCCAAAACACAGGTTCAACGGAAGGGAATAGGGGAAAAACGTGATAGTTAGAGAATGGAATTTCAAAATTTAAAATCTCAGAAGAAGCATAGTTTCGAAGGATGGCAATATCTAGTAACATTATTTCATGCCCTAAATTCTGAGATCTAGGATGTCTCAGTAATCTCTACATTTCTACTTTAAAAAGTATTGGCCAGGTATGGTGGCTCATGCCTGTAATCCCAGAACTTTGGGAGGCTGAGGCAGGCAGATCACTTGAAGTCAGGAGTTTGAGACCAGCCTGGCCAACATGATGGTGAAACCCTGTCTCTACTAAAAACACAAAAATTAGCTGGGCGTGGTGGCGGGCGCCTGTAATCCCAGCTACTTGGGAGGCGGAGGCACGGGAATCGCTTGAGCCTGGGAGGTGGAGGTTGCGGTGAGCCAAGATCGTGCAACTGCACTCCAGCCTGGGTGACAGAGCAAGACTCCATGTCAAAAAAACAAAAACAAAAAAACAAAAAAAAACTTGGATGTCCATTTCTTCCCAGTCTCCCTTAAGGTTGACATTAATGAACATTATAGAATATATGCATCCACATATCCTGAGAAAAGGGCTTATCTACATTTTCTACTCCAGCCCTTTTCATTTTCTCTTCAGTCATTTTCTTTAGTACTCCCCACAGCCCCCTTGTAGTCTTCATAATGGTCTACAATTTGAACTATGTTTTCTTCCACTTACGACTTGCCTGGTTCCCTGGAGGTGTAAAGTCTGGCCACTTCCCAGCCTCATTTCCCTCTCAAGCACAGAGATAGTCATATTGCACTTTATAACCCCAACATCTAACACCATGACCCAAATACACTAGGCACTCAAACTACTATTGAGGATGATAACAGTGTTATCTTCTTAGTAAACCACTAATGACTATATTTACTGTTACTCATAGATAAGAAAGTTATTGTGCAAGAACAGTTTTCCTTCATTATGAACTACAGCTCATTCATATGAGCGTTATTTTCTTTGCTGATATTATATAATGATGTACAAACGAGGCCTTATACACAGTCCTCTAAGATTATTTTTATTTCACACTTAATAAGATAATTGAAATGAGGATGCAATTAAGGCCATTTTAACAAAACTGACTAAAATTAATCTTCTCACCTCTAAATGAAAGATTTCCTCTATATTAGAAAGTAAATAAAGGACATTTCACTGTAACAGAATATTCTTTCATGGACCAAAGCCTTCTTTGTCAAAACTAAAAATGCCTAAGTCTTCACACAGAACATATAGAACACTTCTGAAGTTAAAACACATTCAAAGTTAAAATACATTCAAAGTAACAGCAACATCAAACTGATATAAAACATAGAAATAAAAGCCATACGAGAAAAATAAAAGGCACAATTGACAGAGAAAGTAGTTTGTATCCTATAAAGTGTTGCCTATAACCCTAATAGGATAGACAGAGGCCCAACTCACTCAGAGCTTTGGTATACGTGGGCATTTTCGTCGGGGAACTTTTAGGTCCTTATCTTTTGGAAAACATAACTGCGGATTTGAAATAGATTTATACATTGCAAGGTCTTTCTCAAATTAGAAGCTAAAACCTCCAAGGGAAGTCCCAAGCAAGGTTTTAAAAGATGAAGAAGACTGAGCTGAAGGGTTGTCAGCAGATGCAGGGTACATAAAACAGGCGTGCTTCACCAACCATGGACTCTCACAGAGCCCCTTTAGAAAGCCTTTCATCTCCCAATTCAGAAAAGAATAACATCATTTCAAAACTCTGAAAAACTTTTCAATAGGAATGGCATTCATAAGATAAACTATAAAAGATTAGTTTTCTTCATGTAGAAGAGTGATGAAGCTTATTATAAGGTTGCAAGATGTTCTTTAGTGTCAGAGGACAAGCTATTTGAATATCAGTGGTAGAGAAAACTTAACCATTAGCAACACATAATACAAACCTCAAAAGTGACATAAATTTTGCATCTCAATTCACTTAATAAAATATATTTTAAAGTCTGCCAAGTATTAGGCATTGTTCTGAGCACAGAGACTAAAGATGAACAAGAGATGGTTTATGCCCTTGAGAAGCTCACAATCTAGACTACTGCTGTCCAAGAGAACTTCCTGTGATGATGGAAATACTCTTTATCTATGCTGTCCCCTAGCCACATAGTAGCCGCTAGCCACATGTGGCTATTGAGCACTTGAAATGTGCCTTGTACAGCCAAGGAATTAAATTTTTATTTGATTATAATTAATTTAAATTTTAAACTGACACACATGACTAGTGGCTACCCTACTGGATAGTGCGCATCTAGGTGCATTTATAACTAATCCAAAAAGTATTAAGATTAATGCCACGAAATGACAGTAATCATTAATATTCACTTACCTCATTTAGTATGCTTTCCAGTGTTGGAGGAGTATCGACTTGAGGAATATCAAACTCCTTGTCATCAATCTAAACAAAGAAAAAATATAATGCTCACAAAATGATGCCCTTCCCCTTATAACTGTGAGGGGTTTCAGTTTATTAAAATCACCATCAATTAAAAGACAAACTTACCACCAAAATGATCAACTCAAAAATCTATAGTAATAATCAAGTCAAGACTACAGAGTGATTTCCTTTCCTATCTACACATTCAGTTACTATCAAGGACATATATGCACTAACTGCACTATCCTGACAGCCCTTTTCAGAACGCTTTTTTTCTTGAGACAGAGTCTCGCTGTGATGCCCAGGGGAGTGCAATGGTGCGATCTCAGCTCACTGCAACCTCCGCCTCCCAGGTTCAAGCAATTCTCCTGCCTCAGCCTCCTGAGGAGCTGGGAGTACAGGCACGTGCCACTACACCCGGCTAATTTTTTTTGTATTTTTAGTAGAGGTGGGGTTTCACCATAAGGCCAGGCTGGTCCTGAACTCCTGACCTTAAGTGATCCGCCCATCTCGGCCTCACAAAGTGCTGGAATTACAGGCATGAGCCACTATGCCCAGCCTACTTTCCAGAAAACTTCTGTTGAAAGACTTCTGCATCTGCTTTCTTAAACATGACAAAACAGCATCTAAGAAAACCCCTAATTTTCTAAGTTTAGACATAAGTCATAAGCAACAAGCAAAAGTCTGACATCATATTTCTTAGTTATTTCATAAATTATGGTGAAAGATAATTAGGTCAAGCAACTTGTCATTAAATATCCTCATACTCACAGAAATCCATTAACATAATATTAAATCAAAGAGAGAAAAAAAATGCTGTGCAAGATAAGGAACCTACCACTGGCTCTGTGACTTTGAGAAGTCATTTACATAGCTGCATGCCAGTGTCTTCATCTACACAATGGATTATCAGAGTGTTGTGAGAGTTGTGAAGCTCAAATGACAACATGAATCAAATTGTTTCATAAACTGTAATGGACTATACAAATGAAGAGTTTTATGTCATCTCATAAAACTACACACATGGGAGGTCAAGAAGGGAGAAGTGCTTGAGTCCAGGAGTTTGAGACAAGCCTGGGCAACATGGCAAGACCCTCTCTACAAAAAAATTAAAAGTTAGGTGGGCGTGGTGGCACACACCTGTGGTCCCAGCTACTTGGGAGGCTGAGGCAGGAGGATCACTTGAGGCCAGGAGGTTGAAGCTTCAGTGAGCCATGTCTGCACCACTGTACTCCAACCTGGACAACAGAGTGAGACCCTGTATCCAAAAAACAAAAAAAAAAGCAAAAAACAAACAAACAAAAAAATTATACACAGACTCCTATTAACCCATGCAAAAATGACAGACTTAGAGTCTCTGGGTCACAAAGCATACTCTAACCAACACTGGTTAAACATTATCACTTGACAAAAGTTGAAATTTTTACCAGATCATTTTTGAACTCCAGTTCCTTGTCCAGATCTATGTAAGAGAATTTTGAAAGTGAAGCTTCTAGATTGAAGGACTTATTCAGCTCGTCTTCGCTCATCTTGGCACAGAGGCTCTGTTCCACATTTTCATGGTCTGGTTCATTTTCCATATTTACTTCTAATAACAGTATTCAGTCCATCAAAGCAAGTGTTCTTTTGTTTGTTTGGCCTTAGCTCACAAAGACCTGAATGATTATCTCTTTTGAAAAAAAGAAAAAAAAAAACAAAGTGTAATTTAGATTTCCTCCTTGTCAATTAGACATTCCAAAGATTTACTTGGTCAGATTTCACCTAATCATCTGATTGCAGGCAAACTGAAATAAATAGCAGGGTACAGGGTATGTTATTGGGAGAGGGCTTCAATGAGAGCATAAAGGAGGAACACCTAACTTGGGCTCAAGGACTTTGGGAAGTGGCCCACCACCCAAAGTCATGAAACTGGTGATAATGATAACTTAATAGGCTCAGCCACTAGACCTGGTACCAACTAGATTTATTTACCTAATAGCATAAGGGTAAATCAGGGCCAACAGCTGCAATTAATGCCTTCCTTACATTCCAAACCCCAGGGTAGTGCTCCAGTTCCCCTGGAAATAAGCATATAAACCAGTTTTGTTGTTGGCCTCTGCACAGGGCCACAGATGTCTCTGGGAGTTTAGCAGAAACACGAGGGATGAACAACTAGCTATTTAATACAACACAAGCAAACCTAGGGGTTCAGATTTATTAAAGGAAACAACAATGACCCCAAGATAAAATAATTCCATAGCCTACCAGAGAGTTCTAGAAAGAGAGCTAGTCATAGAGAAACATGGATACTTTCAGAGAAAAATGAGATACTAAAGAAAACTAGAAACATATACAGCTTTTTATTATTTCACAGCTCTAAATGATAGATCGCTCTTATATCAAAAATCACAGATAATTTGGTTTACTTGCAAAACTGTCATTTTTAGAAAGTTAAAATATACTTAAAATATTACTGTAAGTTTAATAATTAAGTTTGCTTTTAAATGATTTTACGTTGTGTTTCAACTAGGCTACAAGTGACCTAACTTTAAAAAGTCCAATTAGCTTTATCTGTTTAGAATAAAGCAAAAACATGAAAACACAAACAATGCCCTAATAATAATAATAAAGATCATTTTGTTTTCTAAACTAGATGTTTTTCACAGTACCAAACAACTGGCAAAATTCTCAGTGCAAAGCTCTTTCAAACTACATATTGCCGTTAGTGGGTATAAACACCACTACCACCAACAACCCTTGCGCTGTAGTGAGTTTCTCTTAGCAAATTAGATTGTGCATGTTAGTGAAGGCAGAAAAAAAAGGCTTGCAATTACTGAGTCACTTAATTTCTTTTAAGAAATGGAGTCTCGGCCAGGCGCGGTGGCTCAAGCCTGTAATCCCAGCACTTTGGGAGGCCGAGACGGGCGGATCATGAGGTCAGGAGATCGAGACCATCCTGGCTAACACAGTGAAACCCCGTCTCTACTAAAAAATACAAAAAACTAGCCGGGCACGGTATCGGGCGCCTGTAGTCCCAGCTACTCGGGAGGCTGAGGCAGGAGAATGGCGTAAACCCGGGAGGCGGAGCTTGCAGTGAGCTGAGATCGGGCCACTGCACTCCAGCCTGGGCAACAGAGCCAGACTCCGTCTCAAAAAAAAAAAAAAAAAAAAGAAATGGAGTCTCACTACATTGTCAACGTGGCCTCCAACTCTTGGGCTCAAGCCATCCTCCGGCCTCAGCCTCCTGAGTAGCTGGGACTACAGGTATGTGCCACCGTGCCTGGCTTGAAATAACTAATTTTTTAAAAAGTGAACTGAGATTAGTTGCTTTTAAACAATATGCCAAAAATTCACTGACAATTTTATCTAATGAAGCTCATTATTTTAGTACCTACAATTTCACTTCCTTTCATGTTTCATTTTTATCATATTAAAAGAAATGAATTGTTACTTTGTATAAATCATGGACTCATGAAACTGACTTTTCAAGAGCTGAAACCAACTTTTCTAGCTATTACACTATTTGGTATATTACCAAATACAAACTAATTTCTTTCACATGCTACAGGCTTTCTGTTTATAGGGTCATGTCCTATAAAACACATGCTATCAAACACATTCCTAGAACACATAACTGAGGCCACTCTTTGCCTGGCAACATTTTAAAGTATCTTTCCAACATCATCAGGTTCTAAATATAGGGCTCCTTTTGCAATAACCCAAATGCAGTAGCAATACTCATGTTTATATGCATTTCTTCAAAGACCTTGGCTCATGACAAATTACTTTTTAATAAAGTCTTTCAACTCCTATTTGTACCACTAAGCAAAAATGGTTGCATTATTTAACAACTATTTACAAACACAAGCAATCTAATTCACTTTCAGTGGTTCCTAAAGATAGTTATTAACTTTTATTCTTATACATTTTTCAAAAATAGTGGGAAAGACCATATGGCAAAATAATATTTATTTAAATGATTTAATAATCTAAAATGATTCATTTTATATTTGTCTCTCCAAAATAACTCATAAAGAAAAACAATTTTTTCCAGCTCTTTTTATCTCATATCTGGAGTTATTAAGAGGTTCCAAGACCATATAACAAGTTAGCATCTGTGAACCCCAATATCACACTGAAGAAGTGTCAGGTGATCAAGCACTCCCTCAAGACTTCATCCCGCCAAGCTACCCTGCCCCATTTCTGTCCTTCATTTCACAGAACTCCTTTTACTGATGGGTGTGGTGGCAAAGTGGAAAGAACACAAGCCAAAGAGTCTATTAAACTCAGGTCTGCAGTTGTGGCCACTTTTCTTAGAAATGACCAGGAAGTAGGCCGGGCGCGGTGGCTCACGCCTGTAATCCCAGCACTTTGGGAGGCCAAAGCAGGCGGATCACAAGGTCAGGAGATCGACACCATCCTGGCTAACATGGTGAAACCCCATCTCTACTTAAAAAAAAAAACAAACAATTAGCCGGGCATGGTGGCAGGCGCCTGTAGTCCCAGCTACTCAGGAGGCTGAGGCAGGAGAATGCATGAACCCAGGAGGCAGAGCTTACAGTGAGCCGAGATGGCGCCACTGCACTTCAGCCTGGGCAAGACAGCAAGACTGTCTCAAAAAAAGAAATGACCAGGAAATAAACATTTATCCCCACCCCTGACCCCCCAAAAAATAAAATAAATAAATAAAGTCTGAATCTGGCCTTTATGACATCCCATCTGTAACCCTGGTCAATTTGTTTACCTTTTCTGAACCTCTCTATTTCTGTATCATTAAAATGGAATATTGTGGACTTTGGGTTGTTTGCTCAGAACAGCGCCTCTTGTTCTGGGAAGGGTTCCTTCAAACCATGTGTTCTTGTAGAGGCTAATGGTCAAAAATCCTTTGGTAAAAGGGATTATGTGATAGCCAGAGTCTTTCACCAGGATTCATTAAAATGGAACTGATGAGGAACAGGTATTTCCTGTTCTCTATATAACGAATAACGCAGCTGAGCAGATCCCACACTCCCCACTCAGCTCTCTTCTGCAGAAAAGAAATCATTCACTTAACACACACCTAACTAAACACTTGCTAAGCATCTGTCACTGGAGATGTACCTCTATTGACAGAACTAGGTTCTAGGTACAGATTCTCTAGCAAGAATGAAACCTATCTAAAAAACGAAGTAGAGGCCGGACACAGTGGTTTATACCTGTAATCCTAGCACTTTGGGAGGCCGAGGCGGGTGGATTTCCTGAGCTCAGGAGTTCAAGACCAGCCTGGGCAGCAACATGGAGAAACCCCGTCTCTACTAAAATACAAAAAAAAAAAAAAAAATTAGCCAAGCGTGGTGGCGTGTGCTTGCAGTCCCAGCTACTTAAGAGGCTGAGGCAGGGAATTGCTTGAACCTGGGAGGCAGAGGATGCAATGAGCCAAGAAGATCGCACCACTGCACTTCAGCCTGGGCAACAGAGCAACACTCCGTCTCTAAAAAAAAAAAAAAAACAAAATAGAGAAGAAAGTCCTGATATTATTCAAACCTCAGATTCTAGTCTTCCATGAAGTTAGCTCTGCCCATTGCCTTGTGGCAGTTTGGCTACAAAAGCCAACATATACTCTCCCAACTTCCCCCTTTCTTTTAGCACATAAAATTGGGAGTCCTGACTCTTATGAATGCAACTACCTATTTCGCAGGGCTCCTGTGAGGAACAAATGATATGACAATAAAGTATTTAGAATAATGTCTGGACATAATTTTCAACAGATATTAGCTATTATATTTAAAACCTCAAGATTTTCAAATTTTTCTAAAGTTAAAGATTCTAAAACAAAATCCAGTATTTTTGTATAGGTCTAGCCAGTGCTAAGCATATGAGAACAATATCCTGGGTATCATAGCAGTTCTTCATGAGCTGAATGGTAGGGGTTTTGTCTAAGAGTAGCACAGCCCCCACCAAAACAACAGAGACACTTAATAAAAACTTTCATTATAACAGAAGTGTCTTATTGTTACTAACTCATTCTAAAATCATGTTTTGGATTTTTTTAACATCAACATTAGTCGACGTTTTATTAGTGAAGCCAACTACGTCCCCTTCCCAAGTCCCTCTTTTGTCACTTACTAGCAGTTACTCCTTTCTTCATTTTAGTCAGTTTTTCCAAACCAAAGAGACCTGATGAATCAAAATGTCATCATGCTCACATTTTTTCAAAAGGAGAGTTCACATGAGCAGCTTCTGTGAATTTTTCAGAAAGTACCTGAGCTGGAAATCTACCTGTAGTAGGCAGCATAAAGGCATCCAAGAGTGACAGTCCTAATTCCCAGAAACTATGAATATGTTACTTGATATGGCAAAAAGGGATTTTGCAGGTTAAATTAAGACCTTGACAGGAAGTCTATTCTGGATGATTTGGGTGGGTCCAATGTAATCACAGAGGTCCCTGAAAGTGGAAGAGAGAGGCAGAAGAGAACGCCAGAAAAAGAGATGTGACACGAGAAGTAGAATCAGAGAGACACCATGTCACAGGCGTTGAAGATGGAGAACGGGGCTCAGGAGCCAAGGATACAGGCAGCCTCTAGAAGCTGTGAAAGACAAGGAAACAGATGGTCTCCTAGAGCCTCCAGAAGGACTGAAGTCCTGTCTTGACCTCTTAATTTTAATGAGAACTGTAAAATAAATCTGCATTGTTTTATACTATTAACTTTA